AACGAAACTAATCAAGGAGGACAAGAAAGTCTATTGAATAGGGGGGCCAAGCCAATCTACCACTGGTCTTCTATCATCTTTTTAGTTGCTTGTCAGAGCCTTATTCGGTACTTGTGTTGCAGTACTCTTTCACAACAAGTCTGTCAGAGCCTGTACAATTAGGAGGCGTTAAGGCGTCCGCGCGAGGCAGACACTGGGTGATGTATAAAATGATTTGAATGTATCTGAACTATCAATTCCTGTTGGTGTATAAAACAGGGCGGACTTGTGCAAGTCTTTTTTCAACTAGGGGGTCTCTGGGTGCCTTGTGTAAGTGCCATGGTCGTCTTCGCATTTAGATGACGAGATGGAGATAATGAATGTACTTGACGTTTGTGCTACATTCTTCTGAAACGACTGCGTCCTTGGATTTGCCCGATGAGAGAGAAAGGAATCGAGAAGAGGGTGTGAGGAATTAGGCAGTTAGTTCGTCTTCAGCCTCATCTGTGTTGTGTTATTCCGCCCACCTACACCTACACACAGTTATGATGGACCATTTTCCTTCTAATGACTCAACTGTTTTAAAAGTATAGCATACGCACATCCTGCAATATCCAATGATTGCAGGAACCAAATCCTTGAATGAAAACTCATATATAATCATCAAACTGCATATGATATTCACTTTCCCCAAAGCAAAGCCTTATAGCTATAGCTATAGCTCCAAACCCTGCATCGGATCGATCGCCTCGGCTGCCCACCCATCCATCATCCTTATAAGGCATCCCACGCGCGTGCTTCAGAACTCGCCCTGTTTAGTCTGTACAACCAACCAAATGGCTTATATCCAGCCTCAGATAGCCGAAACGATTGGCAACCAAGACATGAAAAGTGCAACCCAGCGGAAGGACTATGATGTGCATCTGCTCGCCTCATTCTGTGGCCGGTCTTTATATCGTCGCGTCAGTTGCACTTGTTCTACCTTGTCATCGTCACGTAGTTACTCACAGCCACTGGTTCGCATCTCCGCGATAACAATATCGTCGCAGGATGTGATACTGCCAAGAATGCATTTGTAAGCCATGCTTACTATCGCACAGAGGAACCTGCGTACCCATTCTGCCATTCAGCTGGGCTTCTGACAGTAGACGGCATATATGCGTGCCAAGCTCCCCGATTTAATATGTAGTGCCCTGTGATTTGGTTGGTAATGCAAGGTGATATCTGCCGCATCTGATACTCGACATCACGGTCAAGGATAGTCTTTTCAATCAATTGTTTAGACGCTCAGTGGAAAATCGCTCAGGTGACGAGGAAAGGGGAAACACAACTGACTTCGTCCTACCATGCCCAAAGGTAAGGTAGATAGAGTATCACGTAGATCACTGCAAGGACATAGCATAGACATGAAACTGTATAATTCGAATATAGGTTAAGTAAGTATCGAGGTACAAGCCAACTTGATAATAACGCATCCAACGCACATCCGCATTAATTTCTTCCTTCCGCAATCCAAGCCGCCGATGGTAATGAAGGCAACAAGGACATAATAAGTCAGGAGTCTGGACTTGCTCTTTTCAACCATCATCCTCTCAAACCACCAAAAGCCACGCCAACAGCATCGTCACCAAACAATATAATGTCGTTGTCGCTGCCAGCCTCACTTTGAACCACAGTCAAATCAAAAGACGAAAAAAACAATTGTTGCCTGTGTATGCAGGACTGGGTATAGAGAACTCCGTCCATTAAAACCAATTGTGCAGGGCCTCCGACGCAATGGCTGTCACCCTTCGTCCGCCTCATTCCGGCCTTTAGATTGCCGTCTCCTTCTTCTCAGCTGCCGCTGGAGCGGCCACGGGAGCTGGAGCAGGAGCAGGAGCCTCTCCGCCCACAACGCCAGCCTCTTGGGCGCCGTGCCCAGTAGCAGGAGTCACGGGAGTAATGGGAGACTGGACCTTGGCGTCAACGGGGTCAGCCGTGACCTGAGGGTTGGGCGACGTGGGCGTAGAACCAGCAGGGCTGGAACCTGTGCTCAAAGGAGCTGTAGTCTTGCCACATTCTGCAAGAACCTGGAACCATTTCTGAGCATCAGCAGCTGTGTGCGCCTTGAAGTTGAGCTCAGTGGAGCCGGTGAGCTTGCTGCTCATGGTCTTGGACTTGTCTTTGCCCTTGACGCTGAACTTCTCGCCTTGAACAGTGCCAATGACAGCGTCGGGAAGGTAGATGGAAAGCTCCGGCTTGGGGTCCTGGCGGTTGTTATCCGAATCCTTGAACTCGTGGAGGAACTTGGAGGGCGTGACCACGTAATAACCAGTCGAGTAGCCCCAAGATAGCTTGTTGCGCGACTTGCGCTCCAGGGAACCCTCGATCAGAGCCTTGGTCGCAACGTGATCCATGTTGGGGAACTGTATAGCGTCAACAGAGCGGGCGGGCTCGTTGGGGTCGACGAGGCGGTCGGCGCTGCGGGCCTTGAAGGCATTCCACTCAAAGTCAGGGGCGACGCGTTGGATGACCGAAAGCTGGTCGTTATATAGAGCACGGGTCTTGTCAGCTTGGCCACCAGCAAGTTGCGTGAAAGCTTCCATGGCCTGCTGGACAACCTCAATGACGTGAGCCTCGAAGCTCTGGAAGTTGTTCTGAACAGCGATCAGATCATTTCGGTGGTTGTTCTCGGCGATGACCTGGCTGTTCAGACGGTGCAGGACACCGCGGTAGACAACATAAGGGTCGTCGTGGCTGTTCAGATGACCTCCAGCAGAGTCAAAAGAAGCCGCATGTTGTCCAAGCAGCTCGATCTGCTTCTGGGTGGTGTTGCGAGCCTTGTCAACCTCCTTTGCGCCCTTCTCGGCGCCATGGGCGAGCTCCTTGGCCTTGTGCTTGATCTCCTTATGCAGGCGTTCGAGGACGGGGAGGACTGAGCCCTTGATGCTCTTTTCGGTTTCGATGTTGGTGTTGATGAGGGACTGCGTGTTGGAGCGCATGTTCTCAAAGAAACCGGCAACCCCGCCCAGGCTCTGGTCGAAGTGGTGACCCTCCTTGAGGGGGTTGTTGATGGCCTATTTAGCATTACGTTAGGGCTGAAGTTCTACTGGAGTGAAGGAAGTCAGAATTGGAATTGAGTTAAACTCACCTTGAGCGCCCGCTCATATTCTTTGGCGTGGTGGCCATGGATCTTCTCCATGGCCTTCATATACTCCTCTATGTAGCCAACAGCATGTTTCCATGCCTGGAGCCGCTCAGCAAGTAAACCGGCAGTCTATTCGTAGATAATCAGCCCAAATCTCTTCAAAAGCTGCGCGCTTGTTCTGCAGCGCATGTTGCACAGGGAGGCCTCAGGTGACATACGCTTGAAGGGTCAACTTCGGGAATGGCATCTTCGCTAGTGGTGCTAAAGCCAGTGGTAGCCCTCGAGGGCAGGTCAGTTGTTGTAGGTGAGGCCATGTTGGATGATAAATATTAAAAGTTCTGGTGTTGTTGGTGTCCAAGGGGGCGAAGGACGATATGTAGGATTGTATGGATATGGATATGGATATGGAGAGTTGAGATTAGATTTCACTGTCCAAGCTTGGCAGACAGGGAGAGAGGTGCGTGGAGGGGTATCACAGTCAAGGGTTATGAACTTCTTTCTGATCCTCTTTGCAGGGGTCGAAATGGGAAGATCACATGGTTATATATAAAGAGGTTGAATATTGATCAGTCCTGATTTTCGTGGCGGGAGGCAATCAACTAAAAGTTAGATCATCATGCTAATGTTGACGTCGTGGATAAATAATGTGCTACCTGAAGAAATGATCGCCAGGAAAGCTCATACGACGTCGAAGTTCGGGCCAGCTCAGTTGGGTTGGGTTGGGAGGGGTTGTTGTGACAGCCATGAAGAGCTGAAGGTCCGGGCAGTGCTAATAAAAGAGGCCAACCTACAGAAGGGAGGTAGGATATACTATGTAGGTAGTGCTAAGTCGGTGAGAATCGGTACGATCGAATTTTATTTTAGTACGAGTTAGCCATTTCGATATCCTGTTTTAAATGGCTCAAATGTTATTTCGAAACCTCAAAAGTATATCCTCCTGAGGTAGCTGAGTCCTTCAAGTTGTGCAACATATCCTGCAATATTCACTCTGTATCCCCTCAAAAGTCCCAGTTTCAGCTATTCAAGGATCAGCGCCAGCAGATGCTCCTTCTCCTCCTCTTCAAGCTTATCACTTTCCATCAAATCTCCGATAACTCACTAGCGGCAAGTCAATCTATCTCTTAACCCTCACGGTTATAGTACGTTCAGACTACCATGAACACCAAGAATAAATCATCATCAGACCCTCGTTAATATCTCAGGTCATGACGTCAATCGCTCGTCAACTACCACAAACTCTCGACGTGGTCCCTTGAATTTGTGTCGCACCGACACTAAGACTAGGACAGGCTTGGTATAGATGCAGTGAATTGTGTCCATCTCAAAGCTTGGCCTTGGCTCCCTCTCTCGAAATATCAATACTTTTATCATAATACAGTTTCCGAATTTCATACTATAAAGTATGAAAATAATCTCGAACAGACACATACTGGCCATAAACAAGTTTCCATCCTCAAAGCTCCCTCTTCCTCACCAAACTCAAATATTCTTCCATCCCTCTCGATACAGTTACGCCAACACACCACCACCATCACCAGGTAGATCGAATGAATACCCACTAACAGTCCAACAAGCTTTTGCTCGGATGTCACCGAGTGCCGAAGAATTTCGTTCACTCGCCACCAAGTCTTCAACGCCTGTTATGCCATTGTCGACAAATAGTAATCATTCACCGTCTCAAGATATCAGTTTCTGGAATTGCATGTCAACTCTCAAGGCAAGGGACTGGTAACCAGGCAGTCTGAATATATGCCCTGAACATCTTGTTCATCATTCGTCTTTACTATCATGTCCTTCAAGGGTATTAATTATACAAGTATCATCCTTCATCCATCGTTTTCCCTGTGCATTGTTCTGTACCCAATATTGTGTAGATATCATCCGAGCCAAAGAGCTCGTCACCAAAAGTACGCCTTGTCTATAATTCCCATGATTCGATGCCTCCCATAGTTGATAACACATAAACGCCGCCAAGTCCTGTGAGGCTTATGAAACATTTCCAATCAAGTGATGACCATGTAAATACAAAGAAACAAAAAGGAGGTCAAGCTGCCCATCTAGACAACTTGGTTTCGGTTCTGCGAGGGATGCATCCTTCGGTAGATTGAGGCATCATCCGTATAAGCGCGGCCACTACCAATCCAGCTGGAAGGGCGCGAAATATGCTGAGTATGATCCTCGCCATCTTGATCCTCTGAAATTGTGCCCAGAGGATCTGCTGGGTGATCTGTAGCAGGCGGCGTCCTGGGAGCGCTAAGCGCCGTTTGATAATCTGGCAGAAGCAGGTCTCCAGTACCAGCGCGTGAGCGAGCTGGGGTTTTGACAGCCGTCTGATAGCTAGGGACCTTGTTGAGTTCAGTCAAGTCGGAGACATCGAGATCAATGTGTTCGGCAGAGTTGCGTGACGAGTCCTCGGAACTGTTGCTTCTGGTAAGTGCTGCGGTTGCGGGTTCCGATCGCGGAGCCGGGCCTTGGGGTGCAGACGTGGGGGACATGAAGCCAGGCGTGCCTAGCGAGCCCAGAGAGGTGGAGGAGGTTGTTCTTCGAGAAGGGTCCAGCGATACATCGGCCAGTCGAGACGAAAGTGCCGCGGGAGCAACAGGTCGGCTGTGGGCGAGTGCTGCGAGATTTTCATTCGAGCCTGCTCGTGACTGGGCATAGAAGGGACTGCTAACGCCTGACTGAAAGCCGGGCGTCTGGAAGCCACTAACGTCAACGTCCTCATACAACTGGTCAAGAACATGCTCGCCATATCCTGGGGGAGCAATCGTCGAAAGTTCTCGCTCGTTGTTGGGTGTCGTTGGTGACTGGTCGACGAGGTTACCTTCTTCATCAAGAGGCATGTTGGGTGAGATAAAAATTGACACAGGAAGTGTTGCTCGAAGCTGTGAGAGGTGTTAGCGAACCAGAACTCGTGGTTCTTTTAAATATCGACTTACCTCAGAAATATGACCATCGGGATTGCAAAGCGCAACGGTCAACTTAATTTTGTGACGGACCTTGATACCGTGGTGGTTCAGATCTTGAACGCACTGGCGCAGTCTCTTGGGCAGATTCAGCTTTTTGGTCACCGCCCACCCTTCTTGTCCAGTATCCTCAATCATATCTTGCCAGTGCTCTTCTCTCGAAACCTCAAACTTCCACATTGAGACCTCACGCTCTGTTCGGTGCTCTTTAGTGCCGTAACCTGAGCCAGATCCTTGAACATAACACTCGCGAACCTCCATCAACCTTGCCGTGATATCGCCCAACTCGAGTCCTTTGAGAAGGGGTGTGAATCGCATCTCCATTGTGACCAAGCCGCCAAACACTACGGCCTTTTGGGGGATGATAATCGAGTAGTCAACCTTGTTGGGCCAGATGTTTTCAACACTCATGGCATGGAGGAATTCCAAGGCGCCTGGCTCTAATGTTCGGATGATTCGAAGGTGCTTGTTGGCGTGCAGATCGTATGCAAGCTTTCCGCGTCCGACGGTTGCCCTAAGTCTGTATGTGATGGATGCTTCGGGAATGCCCTCAACACTCTCAGCCATGTTGCCAGGAAGCATGTATTCGAAAGGCCATTCGTAGTTCCCGGCGGGGAGCGTCATGCTCTTGCCGTGCGTGCCGACAAAAGGCGCCCATCGGTGCTCGAGTATCGTTTGCGTCTTGTCAACCTTTTGGCCCGAAACACCGGGAGCGCTTCCTCTGGGGTCAGCCCAGCTGTATAGAGTCAGTTACTATCCTCCGGGGAAATTGGTCTTCAAGTCGAGTAATAGAACTTACGTATGGCGCAGAGTTCCTACAAGTCGCAGCCTAACATCTTCGATTTTCAGGGATGTTTGTAGACATAAGACTAATGTGCCTTTGAGAACTTGACCAGATGATTCATGGTCACTTCCACGGAAGACGATAAAATCGCTGTCTAGGCTGAACATTAGGCGCAGTTAGTAGGCAATCTCAGTTCAGTTATGGCTGAGCATAATCATACCGAATATCGAAAAGACTATATGAGTTCCGCCCCGTCACTGAAGCGAAGGGTTTGAAGGACGGCATGATAACGTATTGTGTCGTATAAGTGGTTGTGATTTGCTGCAAAGCAGCATGGGAGGGACAAAATGGGAATTGACTGGTGATATGCCAAGAAGGGGAACTAGAAGGAAAAGAAGAATAAATTGGAGGAGATGGAACGCCTTTATTTAGGATCACGGCTAGGTCAAGTCGAGCGAATGTGTGCAAGGTGACGAGCTGCAACAGCGCAAGCCACGCACGAGTCGGCGGGATGTGTGGATACGGTACAGCCTCTAGAAAAGTTGAGTGGGGCTGTGAGATCAGGGAAAATACAAACCCACGAGGGTCAGGTTAAAAAAGGGTTGGGTATGGAAGTTCCATGCAATGGGAGGCGACAAGACGATAGCGCGAAGCAGAGCAGATCAAGCGGCGCGGCGTTTGGTGGAGTCACCTCAGGATTGCGATTGATGTGATATATAAAAGTAGAAAAAGAGGGTCCTGTTCTGATAAGACGCCCACCGTGTCGGTCTCACTGAAGATTTCTCATTCAAATGAACCTGGTATGAAAAAGATATGGATATGACGAAGAGGCGGCGGGCAAGAAGGAGACGGAACAAGTTAGATGGAACGAACAGCAGTAACCGGGGGCGACAATGATCCTTCTTTTACAGTCATAGGGGTGTGGAGCTTCAATTGCGTGTAAATCTTGAAAAAGATCATGGGAAAATGGAAAGGAGTTGGAGAGAATAGAAAAGATTAGCATGACATTCGATGCATGCATCTGGCTTTGATCATGACCAGCCGGACATCCTCTCTCAGAGACAGAAACAGACTGGACCCAGGCAGATCAATCAATCAAGCCGTTCAGTGATACCACCCCTGTCATGCCGTCGTTTAGGGCATGGTCCAAGCCTCTTTGAGGTAGTGATAACTGATAACAAGGCCTATTCTGCCCTGCCGACAGCTTCAGCACAATTACCGTACGCAAAGCCGACATGGCGCGGTTGACGCAGGGAAGGTGCTGTGCTGTAACGGCAATTACGGTACAAGACAGGTCTGCCCTGCTGATCTGGCTGCAAGTATCATGTATCATCTCTTCGTACATCGTACGTGCCGGAAGGTTGCGAAAGGAAACGGGCGTCGGATGTTAGCGGGCCGGAGGAAACGGGAAACGACGAAACGTTGGCAAGCCGCCAAATGCCCTGGACATCAAAATTGAGACAGGTAACATATCGCGGTCTTTTGTTGCAGATAAGAGGGTCCTGAAAGACCAGGCTGCTTGTTGTAAATTGTCTCGGCCTCGTTTGTCTTACTGTACTAGCGAGAACCACTGTGGTTAGGCCAAAGCACGCAAGAGACTCAACTATTGATGCTGAACAAGGCCAAGACGTCTGAGGCCCTGTAATAGACAAGGGATAGTGGGGCGGAGACGCCAGCTAACAGCTTGAGGCTGGTTTGTTGCATGAGTCGGGACGATTCGTGCTATCGAAGCCTGATGGAAGCTTTTTGCCCTGCAGTTTCAACGCTGTACCGAGCGTCTGTGCTGCGTGGCGTCGTAACGCCGAGAATTGAAGACGGTGGTAGATAGATAAATATCCGCAAGTACCTGAGCCTCCATTATAAAGGTGACGATGATTGGAATTGCTTCATTTCGGGAAACCATTAATTGGTATCGCCTAGAAAACTTTGTGGTGGTCAGGGTAAGCATACGTGCCTGCCAAATGGTGTCATCATGATTGAGCACCTTCTATACCTCGGGCTTCTCTAATCGAGGATACGAATTGGAAGGCACAGCCAATTCAGCTTACGACGAAACCGTGGCAGTTGCTTCACCTCAACTGCTACATATCGTTATCCAAGGACTAAGTCCCTACCTATGTCTTTCCGATATCATCAGTCAATGGATGTCACGATGCCTCGAGTCAGAGACATTAAAGCCGGTCTATTATCGTGAAAGGGGCTCAAATGTACTGTACGTACCTTGTCAAAATCGAGGTGAGACGGACAGCCCTCACGACCCCCACGCCGAAACCCCCAATACTATTCGATGAAACCCGGATTTTCGCAGGACTAACTGCTCCTTGGTGCATCCTCCGAGTCTTTTCAAACTTGATTCTAGGACAAGAATAAATTCTGCAAACGGTGAGCCAAGGGACTGGAGAGTCATGTCAGGAATGCATCGAGTTTGGCAGTGACTTGAGGCCTCAAAACTCTCTTGTCTACCTATTCTTCCTGCGGGCCCGCCAGTCTCTAGTGCTTCTCTCAGGTCAGAGTAAATTAACATGCCAGCATGTTATTGTGGCGCTCGGCCATAGCACGGGATGTTTTCTATCGTCGTCGAATATTCGCTATCGTTTCGCTGCTTATCGCTAAACCAGGCTCTCAGCCAACCAGATTTGTCACGTTATCCCATTATGGGAACTGACGGCTTTGTTGCTCCTACAGGTAGCCATTGAAATCAAAGGCAAGCATGTTCAATAAGTTTTACTTGCTCTTCTGAAAATCTTCATATGCACGGAAGTAACTGGTATATCATATGATTCTCAGCTTTGGCACATGCATTGAACAGATACAGAACATGGGGTTCTAGAATTGGGGGCACGAGACCGCTACTACGACACCCTTATATGCCCTCCAACAATTCATGATACCCAACCGAGATGGACTGAGCATCTGAAAGCTCGGAACAATCAGTTCTGGATTGGAAGGCCCCAGACTTTGAACGGAACGGCCCCTGTCCCGGAATCTCTTTGAGGTTAATTCCTACCCAGCACTATTGGGGTAAGCATGTCGATTACATGCGGTGACTCGATCTAGGTCACAATAATCACGCCAGTGAAGAAAGAACCCAGACTCACCTTTAGCCGGACAAACGAGAGCAGTCTGAACTCTTTATGCAGCTGGTGAGGACCCATCCTCATGACAGTCCTTGCATATTATCGGTTACTAGGACCGGGAACAAATACGAACTCGCTTTTTACACGTGCGATTACTTATACCGTTAACTGTCTTTCAGTCAAATGGCTTATTAACTTGGCTGTCAGGCTCCATTGTGCACTACACTTGACAACATCCATGTGGCGCCTAATGATCTAGCCCCTTCAACTTGGCTCGTCTCCATTGAACAAGCGCCCGTCGACGGCCCATATACCTGTTGATAAAGCACCGAGATGACGGGTCACCGACAAGAAGATCTAGCTCATCAGGGCCAGTTTGTCTGTGGCGGTGCCACATCAATTCAGCCTCAGGTACTCAAACTTTATCTCATGAACGGAAACGTTTCCAGATTTCGGCGTCGATATGCACGTTTCGGGGATACAACGGCTCTGCGTCGGGCATGCCATCGAGAAAGCCGCCTCAAGTACACCTCGGGTTACCTCTTGTGTCCTGGTAATTCACATTGAGCTTCAAGGCTCCGACAACGCATTTTCGTTAAAGCCTACCGGAAACAAGTATGGAGTCTTTTGTTGAGGTTTTTATTCTCGAAAATTGGGTCTTCGATTCGGAAGTCTCAAGTACCGTACCGGACCCATTATATGGATAGCAATCAGCCTTGTAGAGTACGCAAGCTCTGTAATCGCCGCGCCAAGCGTAAAACTTTTCCCACTCAGCTCTTGGTTGGCTGAGTTGTTGCAGACATGATCCGGGTATTCAAGACCGATAGACGCCAAACACACATAGACACGACACAGATGTACAATTGTTTCCCGAACCAATCAACCTACCTACCCAAGCAGTGACTTCTCACTAATTAACGGGTCACCGCATGTTCGAAACATCAATCAGGTAGCCAAAAATCATTCAGTGATTCTTCTCATGACTTCTCAGGAGAAGCTCATGACCGCGCAAGTTCATGATACATGCTTCATAACCAGTTCCAGCAATAACTGGAGCCTCCTGGAGTACTGTGTCTTCCTGATCCTCACGATATACAGATATCATCGAATTATATGTACACCTCTCTGCTCTGTTGCTGGTGTGCAATGTTACCACACGCCATCAGGCGAGTCACCGCATGATGGTCTGTCCTAGCTTACCCTTGTCCATCAGGTTTGGTTCGGCAACGGCCGTGTTAGTGGGCTGAGTGGCTCCCCTCCCTTTTCCCGATTTGCAAGGATGATTTTCAATGCTTGTCCCTAGTCCAGCCAGCCACGTCGAGATGCGATAACCAGCTATTGCAAGTGAGCGTCCTCAGCTCTTTGCGTTTGAGGTTCAAGTTACGCTTTCACAAGACCTGGTCCTTGCTTTGATGCACGGGCGCCTTCGACCCGGTAGATGAGCAACGGGCGTATGTACAATAAGCTCGCATTAGTGTGCGTGCACAATGTGTACAATTTATCGATTTGTAGCTCAGGTTGGAAAATTTATGAAGATCATTGACTGAGATCAAGGAATCAAGATCTGATAACATCAGATAGCAGTATCTGGCGTTGTCATGGTTGCGCAACTGCATGCGCGTCTCTCAAAGTTGTCTCGTATAGAACGGACACTCCGTTGCTTCAGTACAATGCAATCTCTCGTCATTCTCGCAAATCTGACAACTCTCACTAACACGAGAGAGATATCTCAGCCTCCTGCTTATCTAGAAATGTGCAGCAATTGGATGTATGTAATCGTTACGTGCGCTAGTCTCTGGAGATCCACTGGTATCTCTCGGAGGGATAAAAAATCGAACATCTAAAATCAGGGTCCTGCAGCCATTGTGGACCTCAGACACGGCAACTCGTTGTATCACCGAAGAGCCTCCATTACCATGTGGGCTTAACGGAGACGTCTAATTGATAGGACCGACTCATTATCCGTACTCCTGCAAGACAGCCCAAAACGGTTTCCCAACAGCTATATGACTCTTTGACTACCTATCCCGGCCGGTGCCCAAGCAAGTTCTCTAGCTGGCAAGGGCACATAATTTGTTGACATTGGATCCTGGGCTAAAAACTTACAGCCAAAACCAAGATCCGAGGTGGGTTTCCGGTCCCAGTATACCGTACATCAGATTCAAGCTATCAAACCCTGGAATCAACCAATGACTCAAATGACAACAAGCACTCCCCCTTGCGTACAGTAGCTATTGGACCTTACTATGCAGGCGTATCACAAAACAAGGAGGACAACAAACCCTATCATCAAACTCTATTCGCCAACGCCCTTGTTACGAAGCCCATCAAGGCTTTTATCACTCAGCATGGATCCGTTCATCATGATGCTGCTCCCGGGGCTTCTGCTCCCTTGGTCTGTGCCGCAAGCTCCGATCCAGGTCGCAGCCACGTTCTCATGTGTCCTATTTTCGGAGATTCACATGTCAGCTTGTCACTTGTGTATGCCAGGAACAAGCGATCGCTGATCTCAATAGTCCAATCGGACCGGAAGATCGACTCGAAGCTTGACTTGGTGTTGCTTACCTGATTTGCAGCTTGTCATGATAGCGTCTTCTGTGAAATCTAGCCAACACACGGGGTGCGTATCAATTGACTTGTTCTGTTTGTTTCACCGTTAGTTTTATGGCCTTGCACCCTGAAGCCATTACATATCAGCCCTCGCATTGAAACTTACAAGTACGGGAGGAAGCATAGGAATTCTGGCTCGCGGTTCCACAGGGTGTGCGATAGCCATTTCTTCGTCTTCGGTATCTAAGTTCGAGTTAGATCGCAAGCGTGAGTTGGACGTGGTGGCCGTCTCAGCCCGTTGCAGAGCCGTATAGCGCGATGAGACAGATCCACGATGTCGTACAGATTGCTACAGTAATGAGACACTGTTAGCTATCGAGTTGTGTAAATGACGTGGCGTAGAATGAAGATGTCACAATGCAGTGCAGCGTAGCATCACATCTCCCGCCATTATCAACGTTGGTGTTAGCACATACCGCTTTGGGTCGGTGAAGCATGCCGACACTGAAGTCCCACAGGCAAAGACGCCCGTCCTCTCCCACGCTACCGAAACGATAGTTTCGCTCATCGCATCTCCAAGGGTCAAAGGCAACGGCTGATACCCAAGACTGGTGTCCCTGACATCTAGCTACCAGAGCCGAGTCCGATAGTGACCATATTGATATCAAGTCGTCTTGTCCACCAGTCAATACGTATTGGCCATCTGGAGACCAACAAACGCATGTCAGTCCTCCATAATAGGAATAGAACACGTCCAGTAGCCTTGTGAATCAGTCAGATAAGGTTCTCAACCAGATAAGGTGCAAGAAACTCACTCTTCTTTCAAATAGTCAATAATTCTTAGCGTACCGTCCTCGGAGACAACAGCCAAGTGTCGGTTATCAGGCGAGAAGGAGAAGGCGTTGATTCGATGGTTTGACAACTTCCAGGCGGCAACTGGGTTGACCTTTTGATTCTTCGAATGCACTGACTTGTTGATTCGAATAGAATTGTGATGAGTTCCACCATTGCTGGCATCTAACGACTCGCCACTCGTCCCGTTCGTACTTCCATTAATTGCTTCCTCTTCAGGGTTAAATTGGGCGTCTTCTTTTTCCTTGTCATATACGACCAGCGACCCATCCATATGGGCAGCCAGAAATAGGTTTTCTGATCCTGGAATCCATCGGATTGCCGCAACTGGTGTTCCGTTAATTGCACCCTGAAGTATGCTGTCAGCGGGTTGCACGTCAAAACCTAGATCCTGAGCGCCATCTCACATTTTTGTTCAGTCGTGTATATCGTTGTGAGATCGGCTCCCACCAGATGACCTCTCCAGTTGAGAAGCCCATTATAACATCTAAATGCGAGACACTCTTGGTATGAACATTAACATCATGGCATAGACAGTGTGCTTTCGTGAAAAGAATCTTGGTCAAATAATCTTGCTACTCATGATGTCAGTCAAGATGATCGAGGCTGGCCTCGTTTCGCAGTTGAACGAACCTTTGATGATGATGACATGTCAAGCCACTGAAAGGCGCGGTTGATATTTGCGAAAGCAAAGAGGCCATCATTGGATCGCTCTGTAAGTTTCTTAGACAGGCTTTCGTTAACAATAACACGAGAGATGAATGACGAGTTGCTTTTTGTCATGTTGTTCTTGGGCTTCCTCTTCTTGTTCACATCCTTGGTCGGCACCTGGGTAAGCAAAGCATTGCCTTCGCCAAAGGCAGGTGCAGAGCCAATGGTAATGGAGGTAGCCTGAGCATCGCTTGTCGAACCAGTACGGCCCTCCTCGCTCGTCTTGCCACCTTCGGCAGAGTAGCGGCCCTCGTTGGGATGCTCCTGAATACTAGATGGCGCGCCGCTCAGGGCAAGGGTCGTCGAAGAGAGTCCTCTGTACAGAAAGTTTGGAGCTGGACGGCTTTCAAGCGCGATGAGAGAGACTGAAGTACCGGCGCTGGCAGGCTGCGGAAGAGTTGATAGCGGGTTCGGGTTCGGGACGGTGGCTTCGGAAGGATGGGGCGGAGGTGTCGCGAGATGTAAGTCTTCTTTGAGTGTATACGTTCCTGTTATTTTCAACAACGTAAGTCAAAATACCACAAGGGAATAGAGTGTGATTGTCTACCTTCTCCGACCAGGAATTGCCATTCGGGACCCGTCGGATTCGATAACGTATTGTTTGTCTCTATCATGGGTACAGGATGTATACCACCGGCGCCATAAGGCCCCATGGTGGGATATCGTGGTGGGGGAGGTAAAACACTGGAATTCCATGGTGTCAGTTTGTGTCAGGCGTAAAACAGCCGGTGGGCAAACGCAGGTGCGTGAGGCGAATGTGCGCAACGGAGGGAGGGAGTGGACGTACAACATGATGGCAGTTTATAGAAATCCTGTATGTTTCCAACGAGCTTTACAATTGACAGATCGAATGAAGGTATCGCGATATTTAGTCGATACTGGACGGAGGTGGAGGCGGAGGTGGAGGTGGCTGAATGGCGAGAGGCACAGCAGGTCGACGTTCGGAATTGGAAGGTGCTATACGTCACTGGGGAATAAGGGGAGACCCTGGAATAGCAAAACTCGGTGAGTCCTACACCTGACGATCGATTGGCTTGTCAGTATCGCAGTGAGTTGAAGAGGTTGAACTGCGAGGCTGGGAGAATATAGCCGAGGACTGGTTGAGATGAGAGGATTGGAGTTGGATCAATGGACTCGGAAGCCGCAGGCGCAACTGCAGACGATAGTGTGGGGTAAACTGGGGAAAACGCTATTGTAACGGCCAGGGTTCCAGGGTGGAGGGCTACCATGTGACTCAAATATTTGGACATTTAGCCATTATACAAGCTGGCGGGATGCAAACTTCTTCTGTCACTAGTATTTCACTATGCGCGTTTCGATGAATCAACTTGAGTGTCCCGGGTTTTCGGATTGTCGGATTGTAGCCAGGGGTTCTGCATGGCGCAACGGTCCTATTCAACGTGAAAGTATAGTATCCTTGATACTGTCGGCTGGCCTGAAGACGTTAAGAACGGTATCGAAGTTTTCAGGCCTTTACTAGCACCTACGTATATGAACGTATTCAGATATTTGTTGGGGATTGTCATGGCACGAGAAGCACTAATCGCGCCACTCTGTTATTCACTGAATCCTTCGATCGGTTGAACATCGATTTGGATGTTCTGAACGAAACTTGTCATAGACGAGTCAGTAAGAGATATCCATTCGATCGCATCTTTGTCTAGACTTTACCACCAGCGTTAGATCCACTATCATAGAATGAAGGGTTTTGCTCATTTCTCACTCAACTAGTTCGTATAAACATTTCTTAAGCTAGATAATTCACCAATATTACTTTACTCGAACCGAGCACGTACCTAGCAGGTCGGGCGTCAAGTGATGGATGAGTTGTACGGGAACCGAGGATAGGCGCCAACTTACAGGCGGTATCAGCCTACCATCGTCTCCCAGGACCTGGCCTGTGGAGTCATTCATTCCCTGAAAGCTCAGGCTCGTACGGTGGCGGCGGTTCATGACAACACACTCACTGAAAGCGGGACGCATCTTTAATTGATCGTCCCTCAAACCACCCAATCCTTGCTCGTCGCGTCACTTGTTTGTCTGCCATCGAAGTCCAATTTTAGGTCTGGCACTCGGTTTGAATTAGCTGCATATTGACTACTGTCTGTACCTATTTTGTTTCCTTCTTTGCATTGCTCTGCTCTGCACCGCTCTTTCTGTTTTGTCTTGTCTTGTCTTGTTTCTTATTTAGCTGAGACATGGCCCGAAGTGATGGATGATCTTCTCTGCAAGACTCTTTCATGGCTCTCTTCAACTTGATTCTCCCTTGAACATCTTTATATAATCGCCATATCCTCCAATTTGACCAATTCAACTGCTGCCACCTCCGCTGTTGCCGCCGCTACGATTCATTCATTCCCCACGATCGACCGACCGAACCCACGATATCAGCAGACCACCGTTCTGTTCCCTCTTGGGCATGGAACCTTAATGACGACATACTTTCACCAAAGACTCCGATAATACCTCCATCATGGCCGCCGGTACGAACAACCTCTAACTAACTTAGCTTCAACTCCACTGCGAGCTCTTCAATCCAACAACTATATCCATCACTACGTTACTCAAATGACTAACCTTCCTTGCGCAGTACGCATCTGCGTCTGCGGTGATGAAAGCACCGGCAAATCGAGCCTCATCGCTTCTCTCGTAAAAGATCAATTTGTCAACAACAAAATTCAACCCGTCCTTCCTCAAATCACTATTCCTCCTAGTATTGGCACTCCCGAGAATGTCTCAACAACTATCGTCGATACCTCAGCTCGCCCGCAAGACCGAACTACATTGCGCAAAGAGATCCGAAAGTGCAATGTCATCCTTCTCGTCTATGCCGATCATTACAGCTACGAAAGAGTAGCACTGTTCTGGATGCCATATTTCCGATCCCTCGGCGTCAACGTTCCCGTCGTCTTATGCGCCAACAAATCCGATCTGGCTGGTCAGGGTACCACACCCCAGGTAGTCGAGGAGGAATTATTACCTGTGATGGCTGAATTCCGCGAAATCGATTCTTGCATCCGTACCAGCGCTCGAGACCATCGAAACGTGAACGAAGTCTTTTTCCTTTGCCAAAAAGCTGTAACTCATCCAATTGCCCCTCTATTTGACTACAAGGAGGGGCATCTCAAGCCTCTGTGCGTCGATGCTCTGAGGCGCATATTCTATCTTTGCGACAAGGACCAGGACGGGTATCTCAATGAACAAGAAATGAGAGACTTCCAGGCACGTTGCTTCGATAAGCCTTTGACAGCGGACGATCTAGACAACATCAAACTCAGCATCTCGAAATCGTTGCCCACGTCCGATTTAGAAAAAGGCATTGACCTGCCAGGGTTCCTGCAATTAAACAAGCTTTATGCTGAGAAGGGACGCCATGAGACTATCTGGATCATCCTTCGAAAATATCACTACACCGATAGTCTAAGTCTCGAAGACAAATTTATCCGACCCAAGTTCGATGTTCCAGAGTATTCATCGGCCGAGTTGAGTCCTGCTGGTTATAGGTTCTTCGTGGATCTCTTCTTGCTGTTTGACAAGGACAATGATGGTGGTCTTAATGATCAAGAGCTGGAGGCTCTGTTTGCCCCAGCTCCAGGGCTTCCCAGTTCCTGGACCGACTCATCGTTCCCCTCCTCGACCGTAAGAAATGAAGCTGGACATGTCACTTTACAGGGTTGGCTGGCTCAGTGGAGTATGACAACTTTTATCGAACCCAAGACAACTATTGAATACCTTGCATATCTTGGGTTTGAGCCTCCGAATCCCAAAGATCCCATCACCGCGGCGCTCAAGATAACCAAGCCTCGTAAGAGAAGAAGACGTCCTGGTCGAGTTGAGCGTAACGTGGTGCTCTGTTACGTTCTTGGTGCATCAGGAGCAGGCAAATCCGCTCTCCTCGACTCATTCCTCAACCGGCCGTTTGATGGTCTTTACCATCCGACTATCAAGCCACGCCGCGCTGTCAACAGCGTCGAGCTGCCTGGCGGAAAGCAAGTGTATCTCATTCTGGAAGAGCTTGGAGAGCTGGAGCCCGCAATTCTTGACAACCCGGCCAAACTGGATGCTTGCGATCTTATTTGCTACGCCTATGACTCGTCTGACCCCGACTCGTTCTCGCATATTGTTGATCTGCGGAATAAATACACACATCTTGATGAGCTCCCCTCGATTTATACTGCTCTCAAGGCCGATAAAGACAAGACCAACCAACGCTGCGAGCTTCAGCCAGACCAATATACTGCCTCACTCAACATGAGCCTGCCGTTACATGTGAGTGTCACCTGGGGTAGCATCAGTGAGCTTTTTGTAGCTTTTGCAGATGCCGCTACGAATCCTAGTATCGCTTTCCCCAGGAGCAATGAGGAGGGGCCTGATCGAACAAGTTTGTACATTGCGTTGGGCGCCACGGCCTGCGCAGGAGTTGCTGCTTTGACGATTTGGCGGCGGGCGACGAATGCTCTTTAATCAGTGTCACAGTTACATAAATATTCACCGGGTCTTGGTGAGTTTGGAAAAGGAGTTCGTTACTTGGGAAGAGGACTGTCATTGCATGGGAAGGAGTTGAAACTCGCCAATCAGAAAGAAACATGATACCCAGCTCCATTGAAAACACATTATCACATAGATATATAATCAACAAACATTGTCTTTTCTTATTTTGATCGACTTGCCCCAGGGATAGTGGCGTCGTTTCTCTTATATGACCCAAACTCCTTAACACCAAGCCCATAGTACCACCCCCAATGTCTTATATCGGTACAGAAATTGTTAGACCTTGTAGAAGCAGAAACCGACATAGAAACTAGCAGCTTCCATCTCTTCATCGGATACCAGAAGAGGGCCTCCACCACGCTCCCGTACGCCCATGCGCTCACTCAGGGGACCTAGGTCGCGGTCATCCTTCTCCGCCTCCCAGATTTCAGGAAAGGTGCGGTGAAACTGCAACTCAAGGTTGTAGTCCTCGGCGAGGGCACGGAAGGCCTCCCACGGTACGACGTACTCAGGCACCTCCTCCACGGCTTCGTCTAGAAAGAAGTTATATTTCCAGCCGAAGGCAGGTCGAAAGACACCATCATCAGGTGTTTTCCCAGGGAAGCGCACGCGGTAAATCGAGTTACCCCATTCAGCCGTCGGTTCTTCCTCGCCCTCTTCCAGCTCACCATCCTCTGGCTCTGTTTGTTGCGGTGTTGTTGAGCCATCGCCGTTCTTCTCTTCGCTTTGCTTGGCTGCGCGCTTGGCAGCAGCCTCCTCGTTGAATTTGCGGACTCGCTCGCCCAGAACATCAGAATTAGGGATGCAGCCGATGAAACGTCCTCCTTTCTTGAGTGCTCCAGCGACATTGCGGAGCATGTTGCGCGCGTTCTTCTCCGACTCGAAAGCATAATGCATAGAGAACATCATGCTAACAACGTCGAAGCCTCGGCGATTCATGGGCGAAGGGTCGAAGCCGACTTGTTGGATGATGTCGAGGTTCTCAATAGACTCGCCGAAACAATCTTTGACATGGAAACGAGCGTCAAATAAGCGCGGTGGCGGTCGTCGGTGTCCACCTCGCCCGCCTCGTCCGCCACGGCTACCCAATGTACGGTAGCGGTCGCGAGCTTGCTCAATACTCACGTCAGCAGGATCGAGTCCAACGTAAAGCTGAATTGGCTGAGGAGCCTGTTGCCATTTGTTGAGATCGCCGCCCTTTCCACATCCCATATCCAGTACAAGCAAGTCCTTGCCGCTGGAGCGCCCAGCTTCGCGCGAACCAGGGGTGTGGTCTTCATCAGGTGAATAACGCTGAATGATGCAGCTCTTGATCCAATTATTGAAAACACGAAGTCCTTTGATCTTGCTGTCTCTTGTTCTCCAGTCGCGACCACGCTCTGGTACGTTATTGTAGTGTTGTCTCACGAGATCACTGTTGTTTCGGATCCTCTCCTGTTCAGCTTCGGCGGCTTCTTCAGCAGCAGCTTCGCGTTCTCGCTCGAGCTGGCGCTGTCGAATAGCTTCACGCTCGGCCTCTGAGATACGCGCACGCGCACCGGGGCGCTTCAGCTTTCGAGGTTGTTCTGATGGCGAGAGGGCGCGCCGCTTTGCTGGCTGAAGTGACTTGGCGTTGTATGGCTGGGGTAGATCATCTTGAGGTTCGTCGTTGGCAGGGCGTTTGCGGTGGTTTCGCTCGTCACCGTCGACGCGATCCGAGTCTCTGCCCATTTCAGACAGATTCACCCGCAAAATTCGTGATATATGTGTCGATTGATGTTGCAATGGTGCATGCGACGTTGGAGGTTGAATAGTTACTGGATTTGAAAGGGAAATGGATATGATGCACATTCTGTATCTAATCTCAGCGTTGCAGTGGTGCAAGGGCGCTTGGACCATGCAGTGCAGTTGCAGTATGCCTACCCTGCACCTCTTGATTTTCTACTGTTCAGACTTGATGAAATGATAAAGCACTCTGTGTCTACAGTGCTATCACTCTTTTGTATCACAGTCAATGCAGTGTTGTAGTGATGATTCTAGGAAGGGCATCTGATACGATTATTTAGTCGTTACACATATATGTACTGTGCCGTGGCTGACGTCCTTCTGCATGGCATATATTGGTATTGGACTGGCAGGCGAAGCAAATCAACAGCGGCCCAGGTATGGCTGATTCGACGAAAGCAGAAAGTAAAAGTTCACTAGGAACGTACTATATATGGTATGGCATATGTCAGGTTAAGGCAGTAGAGCAAAGGATAATATCTCACCGAGGAACTAGACAATTTGGCAGTATTATCTATGTAGGGACATTGACTACCAGGCTACTGCTAACCAATGCTAGATACAGTAATGAATTGATGAATCATTGAAGACTTACCAGTGTTCTCTATACCACTAGCTATCCCAAACACTAGGTAAGGCTGAAGAACGACTTGAAAATTGTAACTGTGCAACTCAATTTACCTTTGACTGCATGATCTTGTTAAAGTTGAGCTGAGTGCTCGGGGTACGTACCGATCTATCAGTGCGTGTCCCGCTGGAGCCTTGCAGCACAAAGCCGCCTAGACCACCCCACTGTCGCCTCGCCATCCAATCCAATTGTCATTGGATTGCTGTACCTGCTCAACACCAAGCTCTACCGACCTATCTCTGAGCTTCTCTCATCATCCGTCCGCCAAACCATAACAACATCAACAACAGCCAACACCAAATAACGTCATCATCCCCGAGTTCCAGACACCTACCGATATCGCACTCTGCGCATAAAACAATCACACACACTCGACGACAGCGACCGCCGCCATCATGGGTTCCGACCCCCAGTACGCGAAGTGGCCATTGCTGCCTCTTTCGCAGCACGTTTTTACCCTCACAAACGGTTATGCCACTAAAAATGCGCAACAAGCTGCTGTAAAGGCTCTCCAAGATGCTATCGCCCAGGATAAGATGGCTCCTTTCTACCGATATCTGGCCCATCCACTCGACGGCGTCCTCAACACCCTTGGCGAGGGCGGCTCTTCCGCTCCTGGACGACCTCTCAGCAGAAAGTCCAGTCTCGTTGGAATGATTGCTACTAAGCCTGCTGCTACCATTATCAGTCTTCCCTGGGACGAGGGCCTTTACAACCAGCTGAAGGACGACAACGATCGGGAGCTGCAAGAGTTCCAGAAAGAGGAGGATGACGCTGTTGAACAAGCTGGTGATACTGAGGTCATGGCTGCCCAGGGGAAGCGAGCTGAGTTCTGGGCTCGTGTAGGAGACAAGGCATGTTTGATCTTACTTAGAACTTCGAGTTCTAGCAACAAATTGACTTCAATCGCTAACACTCACCAAGGACAAGGCAATTGCCGCCTACGAGAGCCTCTCCGAAAAGACGGGTATCCTCGGTACCAAGATCGACCTCGTCCTCGCCATAATACGCATGGGCCTCTTCTATGGCGACAAGCCCCTTGTCAAGAAGCACGTCGAACGCGCCAAGTCCCTCGTCGAATCAGGCGGTGACTGGGACCGCCGCAACCGTCTCAAGGCCTACGAGGGTCTGCACCTACTCACCCTTCGCTCCTACAACCTCGCTGCGCCTCTACTGCTCGACTCTCTCTCCACCTTCACCAGTTACGAACTCTGCACCTATTCCAACCTCGTCGTGTACTCCGTTCTTGCTGGTTCAGTATCCCTCAAGCGAGTCGATTTCAAGTCCAAGGTTGTAGACGCACCGGAGATCAAGGCTATTCTGGGCGATGGCGAGGACAAGCTTCTTGCTCTCAGTGGTGCCCTCAGTGCTGGCCCGGGTGCTGATGACACTACTGGTGCGAAGGCTCCCAAGACTGCCACCGCTGCTGTCAACCTGACCACGCTGGGTACCAGCACGGAGCAACCCGAGGCTGAGTTGGCCATTGACTTTAGCCCTCTAGCGCTGCTCGTTAGTAGCTTGTACAACGGAAACTATAAGACCTTCTTCAAGTCTCTCGCTGAGGTCGAGGAGCAGTTCCTCAACCAGGATCGCTACCTTCATGAGCACAAGAACTGGTTTATTCGGGAGATGCGACTTCGCGCCTATCAGCAGCTTCTTCAAAGCTACAGAGTTGTTGGTCTGGAGAGCATGGCCAATGACTTCGGAGTCACTGTTGACTTCCTCGATCGGTATGTCATACGTTACACAATCTCATGAGTGAGCACAGCCTGACAGATTCTTTTCTAGTGACCTCGCCCGCTTCATCGCTGCTGGACGTATCCCCTGCACCATCGATCGCGTGACAGGCAAGGGTGTTATCGAGACAAACCGCCCCGATGACAAGAACAAGCAGTATCAGGATGTTGTGCGACAGGGTGATCAGCTCATCACAAAACTACAAAAGTACGGCCAGGCTGTGCGACTGAGGGGTAGTGAGAGGGCATAAATGAGACGATTGATAGATGAGGAAGCTGGTGCTTGGCTTTGTCATGCCGTAGTGGGGGATAAAGCGAAGAGACAGAATAAGCCTATGCCTTGACCTATTTACTTGACTGTACAGATATGATATGTTATGGATTAGACAAGCCATTGCGGTAACAGATTGGCTGGGCCCCGGTGAGGAGAGCCAGAAAAATGGGCTGATCTAATATTGCCCCCCTTCCACACCGAGGTGACGACTGCGGAGTTAGCTGCATGTGCTGGATGATATGATGTTAATAAGCATACAACTAACAATCGATTTACCCCAGTCTTGTTCTCCTGTACCTGCGCATGCAGGCAAGGGTCAGAATCGAAAGATCAACAGCACATCTCTACCCCGGATTTGTCTGTTATGTTCCGGTAGACTCACAGTTTTGAGGTGGGACACGCCATCTTGACATACAATAAAAATGCTAGATTGGTGAACTTCTGTCTATCCAATACCTAATAAGGCGCTAAACTATGCAAAATGATTTCATGTTGATAATCCTGATTTCTCTCTTTCTCCTCCGCACGCCACATCGTCGCTCCGTGCCGAACCTTCGGCCCCGGACCGCCCCGCTACAAGTTCGGCTTCGCGACAGGCGTAGCGGGGTTCGACTCACGATGATAATACTGCCTAACTGCGACTGTTGCTTCATCGGTATTTCTCGAGGAACTCCTTGTGGAACTTGACGATGCTGCCAACCCACTCGGTGCCGGGTGCGAGGAAGGTTGTTCTGAAGTGCAGGGTACCCTCTTTTTGACCAAAGCCTGAGCCGGGAACGACACAGATACCAGTGGCCTCAAGAAGGCGCATGCAATAGAACTCATCGGGGCTTCGGCCCTCTGCCTTGGCGGCTTCGGCGGCCTTCTCGGGAAGGTTGATGGTAGGGAAGAGATACATAGAACCTTGGGGTTCGGCGCACTCAACACCCTCCATCTGAGAGAAAGCCTTGTGAAGAGCGGTAGCACGCTCTTGAAGACCGGTGAAGATGCCGTCGTACTCCTTCTTGTAAAGCTCGTGTGAAGGCTCGCCCGGCTTGGGAGGGTTGACCATCAACTCGACGATGCACTGACCAATAACAGGGGCGCAGAGCATGATGGAAATGAACTTGTAGATGTTGGCCTCGACCTCGGCATCGAAGTTGACAAGCTCAAAGTAACCTCCGCGGTGACCACACTCACCAACCATGCCCTTGGAGACACTGTGAAGAGAGGCGAGCTCGAGGCCGTCAAACTTGCCGGGGTTCTCCTTCTCAAGGGTGCGGAGGACAGCCTTGAAACTGTGGAACTTGCCGACAAAGACATTTGTCTGGTAGACCTCGTCGGCCATAACAACTAGGTTCTCCTTGTTGGCGAACTCAAGGACAGCGCGAATGTCCTCCTCGGGAAGAGAGGCACCGGTGGGGTTACCGGGGTTTATAATGACAATGCATCGAACGTCAATGCCGTCAGCCTTGGCCTTTTCGTATGAGGCACGGATGGTATCGACGTCGGTACCCCAGTTCTTATGCTCGTCCAAGAGGTAAGGAACAGCGGTGGCGTCCAAGAGGGATAGAGTAGCAGTGTAGAGAGGGTACTGAGGAATTGGAATAAGGATGCCGGTTTTAGGAGAGGCGCAGATGACGTTGAGAAGGGTGTTGACACCAGAGGAGGCACCGGCGGACAGGTAGATGTGATCGGGATCTGCAGGGAAACCATCACGACCTGAGACAAGTTAGTAACACAGCAGAAACAGATGCGGCGGCAGAACCCACGCTCAATAAACTGGGCGATGCTATCGCGGATAGCAGGAACACCAGTGCTAGCACTGTAGGCGCCAACGGAGCCGATCTTGCTCAGGAGGAACTTGGCGCGCTCGATAACATCGGTCTTGTAACCAAAGTGCTTGGTGAGGGCCTCTTCGTTCTGAAGAAGTAGAGGGTTCTCGAGAAGACTGGCGACCTGGCGGAAGAAGGTGATAGGCTTCTGGTCGAGCTGCTGAGGGTTGCCAATGTTTGCAGAAATAACCTGTTTGAAGGGAAGATCGCCGGTATCGCCCTTTGCGATCTTGGCTCGGTATTCCTCAGACTTGACAGCAAGTTCACCACGAACGGCGTACTTGGCAGCGACGACTCGCTGGTTGATGTTCTCTGAAGTCAATCTCATTTTGGCAGGATAAGTAGAGAAGAACGAGGTTGAGGAAAAAGAAGTCGAGGTATAAGGATAAAGGTGACGATGGTAGTGGGGAGTAGTAGTAGAAGCAGAACTTTTTGGCGGGGTGCAAGTCGATGTGAGTAAGGGTCGCGGGGTAGATGTGGCAGTAATATATTTACTCCAAGCGCAAGTACGGGGGCCAACTTTATAGTCTGTGTAGATACCAAAAAAGTCGAACGAGTTAGCAATTGAATCATACAATATTTATAAACCAAGTCAAGCAAATTGTCAGTGCTTTGTAGGCCTGAGTTTTGCGTCAAGGGGAGAGAGTAAGGTGAGGTGAGGTGAGGTAGGTATCAGACAAGGATGAGATAGATACCGGGGTAAGAGAAAGGAAGGAGGAGGAAGAAGAAGAAGCATACAATGGGGGGGTATTACACCAGAACAACACTACTAGGTATTGTCGGTGTAAGAGGGTATCGTGAACTAAGTAAAGATCAAGAAAGAATAACTCGACTGAGTCAGAGAGAGAGAGGGTAGAGCCTGATACAAATAGACAAGGCAGACAAGACAAGAAAAAGACTCGGCTTAGAACTAATGTCTAATAGAAACCCCCTTGTAGACAAAAGCATGCAGGCATGGGAGGCAGGTAGCAGATGGATGTTACTAAAACAAAGCAGAGAAAAGAAAAGAAAAGACCAAAACCCTTCACTAACTAATCCACTCTCACCCACTCACACAACACACATCGCCATCGCCATCGTAACCTTGGCCGTAGCGCAATCCACGTCTGGGGACGGATGGAGACCCGGAGTGGATGCAGATTGTACTCTAGACAAACACCTCAAGTAAGATCAAATCATGGGGTCCCCAAAATCAGCGCATTTTGCTTGTGATTGCATGACTTGAGCGCGTTGTCCACGACGAGGAAGACAAATTGAATGGCTTCAACTCAATCCGATTAACGGACGACATCCGGGGCGCTTTGGGGGAGAGCGTGGAGAGAGCGTGGGTGACATGGAGACAAGCAAGGGTGCTCCAATTGGACATTGGGGTTGATTGATTTTCGAGGCCCGGAGCCGGGACCCCGGAAGGGCACAGACTCAGACTCAGACTCAGACTCACACAGACGCAACTGGCGCCGATTTTGGTTTCTGCACATGACCATGACTGAAATTCATGATATCTTCTCTTCCGGTCTCCGGGCACTTTGTCCGAAGCCATCGGAAGGCCCCGAATATTGATAACAAAAAGAACTACACAGCAGCAGAATAGGTACTCGGTGGCCCGAGACCAGCCGGACTCTATCTCGGCTTTCGCTCTCAAGTATCAGAGGAGAAAAAAAGGCGGTTGAAAATGGGCATGATAAAACGTAATAGGTTGAAACAGAACATGGATAACAAGGTGCAGGGGTAATGACAGTGCAGCTGCACAAAAGCCATGAGAGAGAATTATAAGAGATCTAATCGAACGTAGTGCCTTGCGCCAAATCTCTCGGCTGCCTCTCTTTGCCTTGTCTCCTAGATCATCTTCCAAGAGCATCTCGCTCCCGCTTCACTGGGACCGGACCGGCCCTGCAGACTGGGGCGCAGATGTATATAAAACAAAAAACACGCAATTGGTTGAGACGATAAAGAAAACCCAGAGAAATCTTCCATAGAAGTTCTCAGAAAAACGTACCTGAGGTAGCGGGGCGCAGGGTGCTCGCACATCGTTGACCAGACTCGTTGACCTCGGGACTAGCAGCCAACCTCGAAGATGTTAAAGGCGGCTGACATCGCAGCGTCTGGCCGAAGCGGACCGATGCCACGGGATTTCGACGGGCTAGCATTAGATGTTGACGCCAGGAAATAATAATCTGTGGTATCTTGTCCCAGCCGGAGCTGTGGAGGCGTGGAGCTTTGATGCGGAACGAAACAAGGGTGCTAGCCGCTGAGACGGTAGTTGAGAGAACTGCCGTTCAAAATATAAGTACGTGCAAGAAGAAAAATAATAGTGTGCTCAAGGCTTAGAAGGTTGGAAAGCCAGAGACTGATTGTGAAGCGAAAGTTACTCTGTTGTCTGGCCAGATAAGCTACTCACTACCTTGAGCTAGGAGATATAAGATCGGGTCAAAAAGCTATCACCTCGCAGCTATTATCGATAGGTCTCGCTTATTCCCGTAGCGGGTAATTCGTGACTGGGAGCTCTAGGGCGCAGATATATCTGGGAGTCACCGCAGATCCGATGCCGCAATTGTGATTGTTGACGAGAAATAGAGAGAACAGAGTAAAACAATGTGTTGAAGTCAAAGAGGGGTAAGGGCCAAGATTGCGATGGTCACGCTTGGGCGATCAAAAGCACATTGGATAACCTTTGTGCAATATTTAAGTACCTTTGAGATTCTTGGTATGAGTAAGTTCTGGCTTTTTATACCGCTTGTTGAGGTTGTCCCTCGAAGAATTTGCCCGATATCGTGGTTGGTAACATTTTGTGCAAGGGTTAAATAATCGAAGCCACCGGTCTCGGATAAGTAATCTTCTCAGAACTAAACGGACCCTTTCCCCAAATGTCTTGGTTGTGTAGTGACACCATGCATCATTCAGGCATGTCGCGATAACTGAGCTTGCGTGGGAAGACAGCTAATACAGTAATGTCAGGATAAGGTGCAACAACTCGAACGTACAGCTTTTCATTGGCCAACCAGACTTTTGAATCAAGCTCTCGGTGAGTGCTACAGCACTCCGACTCACCGAGAAGATTAGTGGGGCTAGAGATGATAGTGACCTTTACGGCGCTACGTTTTGCCGACACCCGCCCAACATCGCCAGTATCCGTAAATTCTCTACTATCACGGCGACTGACGTACAGCAAGATCAAGCTATCTGATCCACGTCAATTAAAATGGCAAAGAAGGGTAGGCACATATCTTTACGATGACTCAATCAGGCTGTGGCTGACTTTATTCTCTTATAGCCAAGGCTCGCCTGGTGCATGCGCGCCTCGTCTCCATGGCCATGACTGGCTTCTTCTATACCTTCAAGCGTCCCAGAACCGCACCCATGATGAGCATGTTAAAATACGATCCCATCGGTACGGCATCATACACCGAAAACACCTGGATCCATTAGCTAATTATGTCAATGGTAGTGCGTAAGAAGGTGCTGTTCCTCGAGACGAAAAAGAGGAAATGAAAGCCGCCCAACCTCGTTCGATCATACCTTATTCGATACAATATCCCAACAATCGAGTTTCTTGCCTGAGCTAGACCTGACTCTTCAACTGCAAGCCACGACGTACGCGCCATGTAACACTACACTAAAGAGCATCACTGGAGTTTTGGGCATCAGGATCCTCCCTCTTCGAAATGCGACTATACATGTACAACATAGACCACAATATTGTCCTTATGATATGGCTGCATTCGTAAGCCACTGAATTTAACGACTAGAGTATCATATTGCCGTGCCGTCCCTGTGCGCGAGCTCTGTCTAGGTATTCAGATACAAATGATAAGGTGCAAATTGCTGTTCCACCCACCATTCACACATTGTCTTCTTCAGATCGCCAGATGCCCATAATTGTCCCACAATGTTGTGCCTTCAAATTTTGTAAGGCCTCCGGCTACTCATGCTCCCCAAGAATTGATAGGTATAGTGATTGGCGAAACCGTGCAGTCCCCAGGCCCATGACATTACTACATCATGACTATCACCGCCAGTCTTTTCGTTTTTAAGCATATTAGTTAGACTGCTTCGAGTACATCTTTCGCATCACATGGCGTGTTCGAAGCAATAGAGGCCTGTCTGTACTCTCGGGTTGCGAGGCGACTGGCGCTTCTTCCGTCTTGACTCGTTTGATGGGAGAGGCGATATCCTCTTCCTGGTCCACAAGAGAGATACTGTGCTTTCCCCCCATACTACCGTCATTCTTGCCACTTGGAAGAATTTCTTTGGCAAAATCCTCCATAGTAGGGAAGTCCCAGCCGGGACGTGCAGGCTTTGGCTGAATTAGACCCGAACGAATCTGTTCAACCATCTCCGGGTTGCTACAGACTGTAGTCGAATTGGCTTTAGCCATTACAGGCCTGTTGTGTTGACTATGGTTTGCAGGTGGTCTGACAGTTTCGGTTTCGTGCGTCGAGGCAGTCGAGAGCCGTAGGATAGATCGAGGATTGGAGCCTCCTCGGCGCCTCGCTTGCTCTTGTGTTACCGAGGGCGCAGGCGCCGGTGAAGATGCTTCCAATGCCGGGCTGGCCACGACGACTTTGCGACGATATCTTTCTCCCTGACAATGCAAATCAAGTGTAGTGAGGTCACTTAGACTGGCTGACCCCTTCGTGTCAGTACTCTTCGCTTGAACCCAGGCGATAGACTCTTCCGAACGTTGCTCGTCAAAGTAAGCTGACTGCGTTCCAGTCTCGTTCTGCCGTGGTGTGTCGGTGCCGGCAGGTTGCGACGTGACACCTAGTTGCTCATTGACCCAATGCCGTTCTTTGCTTAGGTACAAAGCGGTAGACTGCATCACCTGGTTGAGATCAACCATTTTGTTGAATGTTGTGTTTAGACTTTCGACCCGAGGAACCTGCTCGGTCATGCCTTCTAGCTGACTCTTCAAAGCATCGATTGCTTTGAGATCCCGGAGTTGTCTCTGGAATAGTTCTCCATTCACACCCGAATCGCCCTCCAGAGTGGCGAGCTGTTTTTGTAGATCGTGGGTTTTCTTACGTTCTTCAGCCAGCGTCTCACGCAACAACTGAGATTCTGGGCCACTTGATGACAAGCCTTCGAGTTGCGTCTTGACTTGTTGAAGATGTGCCTCTACTGTGGCATGTATGGTTTCAGACTTGGAAATGTCTTTCTCCGAAGCAACCCTTTCCTCTTCAAGCTTCTTCGTAAGTGTAGTTTTGATCTCACAAATGGTTGCCTGCAAATATTCTTTGACCTGTTCGTCGTTCTCATGCATGGAAGTTTTCATGAGATCGAGCTTCTTAGACCATTCTTGAGAGATCTGGTGCAGAGTTTCCTCTAGACCCCCGATCTTTGATCCACGGTCTTGAAGCTGTTTCGCTACCTCATTGCCAAGATGAGTTTGGAGACCTTCTTGCCAAACTGAATGGCCAGTAGCAAGTCTGGCTAAGTTTTTATTTGTTTCGTCGCAGGTCTTCTGGGTCGCGAGAGTTTTGGCAGAAATGTCGTCTAGATGCTCAGTAAGAGCTTGGCGTGTTTTCTCATGCCACTGCTGACCTTTCGATTGAGTCTCCTGCTGATCGGATATGTTGTGATGCAGCTTCTCGAAGTGCCCCTGGATGGTGTCCTGAAGGCATGCGGCTGACTGTTTTGCATCGGTTTGAGACGAGATAATCTTCTGTATCTCAGACATCAACCTGGAAGCTCGATTAGTGCATGAAAGAAATGAAACGAGACATAAGAAACACATACCGGGAGATAATGTTAGTTTCTAACCTATCCGCCATCATCTTAACCTCCTCATTCGTCAGTTGACCCTCGCTGCGCGACTCCAAATGATTGTTCATCAGCTCGAGTCTGCACATTGGTTAATAAGATCCATTTAGGAGATATGTTGACCTACTTCTCTAAAAGGGTGTCTGTTAGCCTTCCCTGTTTCTCACTCCACTCATTGTACTTCTCGTTGCTTTCCTTTAGTGAGGACAGATCAGAACGGAATGTTTTCACCTCATTCAGCAAGCTTGATTCTGTTTTCAGACGGGTTTGAAGTTCAATCGCTGCATCCCTTTCACGATTTATTTCCTTCTGCTGATTCTCAAGCTTCAATTGCAGCTCCGAAATTGTGTAGTTTTCTAAGCAATACAGTTAGTCTCTGGTTGTGATACAACAGAATCGGGGATGCTACGTTTCTGTGCTTCTTGCTCCGACTCGGATCGATACTTTTCGATGCAAGATTTGAGTTCTTCGCGCTTCTTTTGACTTGCCTCCAGTGCTAACTCAACTGCTTTCGCTTCGTTCTCGCGCCTGTCTCTCTCCTTTTGCAGCTCATCGCTCGCTTCTTTGTGAAGACTACGAACCCGTGAAAAGAGATCTTGCTGTTCTTTAATAGCTTCATTAAGCTTTGCTCGGTTTTTGCGATACTTTTCATGAGTAGCTGCCTCGTGATCTCGAGATTTGACTAGATCTGAGCGCAGAGACTCAATCTCACCCTGTAATCTTTGGGTTTCCTTTTCCGCCAGAGACCCTTCTTCTTGTAACTTGTCAAGGCGACTCTTCGAATCTCCAATCGCGGAATCTTTTTCCGATATGAGTTGCACCGACTTGTCTAAAGCCTTCTTGGCGTGCTGCAACTTATCCTCAAGAAGTGTAATCTCTTGAAGGGCCTCCTGACGCTCAGCTTCAGCGATCTGTATGCACTCATTCCAGTATTCAGCCACGTTCTGCATTGCAATCTTCTTTCGGTCAGGCTCGGACCTTGGTCGAGGATGGACTCTCCGTTTAGCAGAGCGTTTTCTGGAGATATTGCTGGCCCTGGAAGCCGGACGATCATTGTTTCTGTCGGATGCTCTATAATATTTAGATGTCGATGGGGGCTGAGCCGGCCAGTGGCTACGGGATGCACGATTTCGAGACTTTGTAGTGGTCATGGGAGTCTGGGGAACAGGGGTCTCCAGCTCACCACAAACACTGGAAGAGGGCGCATGATGCGAGACTCGGTCAACACGCGTAATATGTGGAAGGGGAAGTTTTAGGTCTTCTAATCGGCGCCCTAGACTTGAGTTTGAGCGGGAATGAATATTGAACCTCACGATTCGTAACTTACCACGGTCTTTGATGTGAGGTGGAGAAATCTTCGTCTTTTTTTCCACCTGTTGAGAAACTCGATCTTTGGTAACCTCTTTACCGAAGCGAGAAGCATTAAAGATCGATCCATTTTCTGTCGGAGGTGGTGCGTTTATATTAGAAGCTTCCGATATGTTTTCATGAGAGAGCTCGGAGCTATCGATATAGATGACTGATGCTCCACCAGGGCTTTCTCGTGTGGGAGGTTTCTCCAATGGAATTACGGAGCGACTCGAAGAACTATCCGACAGACCAGTGAGGTCTTCATGGTAAAATTGAGAGGAACTCTCAGAGGGAAGTTTGCCCCCTGTTAGACCAAGCTCAGGGAGATCTAAGGGCGCTGCAGGCCTAAGGATCTGGATAGGCGCGTGTAGCGGACTGGGTGGAGAGTGTTCAGCAGGAATGTTTGTTGGCGTAGGGAAGAATTGGGAAGTATCAGCTGCTTGAGGCTGTTCAGGTTTGGGTCTCCGCGAGAACTGTCCAGGGCGAGGTGGTTTCTTTTCGGCAAAGCAGAACCCTTCGGCCATTGTTGATGTCGAAACCTCCTCTCTTGGTACCGAGAATCTCCTGGGATGAAGTTGATTCAAAAGTGTGTCAGGAGCGGCCTGAGAGTCCGGGATGGCCGAACCGAGTTTGTCGAAATTTCTTTCATCTTCAACATGCCCAAAGGAGCTCAGGCTGCTGCCTTTAATGAAAGGTTCTCTGGGTCTCGGGTCTGGTGAGACGGCCATCGGACGACTGAGTAGCTGATAGGCCAGCTAGACCTCAAGGCTTACAAAAAGAAACTTGTGTTACGTTGCAATGGGAAAAGGGTATCGACGACTGTGGGTGAATGGGTGATGTGAAGAAGTTGTTAAAATGACAATCTAAGTTGGCAGAGGAGCTGCGAGACATTCCCCGAGCCTTTTGCTTGTACCTTCCTTCTCCTCTCAAACGTCTCTCCCACGTAAGTATTGGAAGGCGTTTGTGATGCGGCTTCCAGTTTGGAGTTCCTGTCGAATTGTATGAAAGGTTTAGGGGAAGCTGCACCTGTCTGGATTGTGCAAGTAAGTGATAACTGCACATTGGCATTCTACCTCGTGGGGCCTGCCCCAGGCAGACTTCGAGCGGAATCAGGTAGGTATATCTGAAGAAGTTCGGAGCAGGAGGAATATTGGAAAGATTTCTTAAGGAGGTATCTAGTAGGCAGTAGCGAAGGTAATTCCTCACGTTCACTGATTCGAAACTGTTCCTGGCCGTGTTCCTTCTTCTGGTCCTTACCTAAGGTATTCAATTATCAGACTGATCATCAAAGTTTTAGATTTGAAGGCTCAACAAGAATTGAATCTACGACGTATATTGATACTCAAGAAAGGATGAAGGGTGAGTGAAATGGCAGATAAAGCTTGAGGGACAAACTGGTAAACCTCCTAGAAGGAAGTTCCTGTGATCATCGTCTGTCATCACTCGTGGCCCAACACCACCTCTCTAGTGTAACCAACCTCTTTGAACTGGATAAGTCAAACTTCTTATCTGGCTTCATTGATATGGCGAGTATTTGAGAGAGAATGACTGGTGTGTCTCTTACCAAGTTTCTTTCACCTTGATTAAGCTAGAAGTCGCATTTGGGAGATATTTTAGGCAATTTGTTAATGTGACCATAGGTGGTAGTGCATTAGACTGGCTTATAAGAGGCTAGAGTCATATACGATCTTCGGTTATTATACAAGCATCCAACATATAGCAAGTCGAGAGAAGGTGACGGTAAAGGAGGCCTCGTTTTTTATCACACAGTATGGTTGTATCTCTAAGCAGCGTCATGAATCTATTTCAAATGCTAACCCCTGGCGCTTACACCGGAACCAAGATGGTGCAACATCGCATCGCCAAGTTTTTCGCTTAAGAGCAAAATCTAGAAAGGAGGTAATCTCGAGTTCAGCGTCTTCTTGCCAAGACCAATCTCTAACGCTGTCAAAACCATGACAACGGCTGCAGGTCAACTTACACGATAAGCATATCAAGAACCAACAACGACCCCTGGCGCTTCGCTTTAGAAATGGACGCCAACAATGCATGGGCCACCGCTAGTTGATCATTCTCAACCGCCGTTATCACCGGCCCAACATCACTGAGTGAAACGAATCTCCAACATCCACATGCACTACGACTTAATTCCCAGACTAAGGCTTCGCAGAACCAATCCGGCGGCTCATCACTGTGAAAAATATGAAAATATTCCCTTGCGCACAATAACGGCCCTGCATTAATCACCCTTTGGCGCGTGACGAAGTACAGGTATCGAGGTCGATGAAGTCCGGATCTGAAGTCTTATTGGCTGGACCCCTGTTTGAGGCTTCGCCGCTCAGCGCTTCGAGCTGGACTGTCACCAATCATAGACATGCGTGCTACTATATCGCGGTTCCTGCTGCTGTGCTCGAGTCTCGGCCCCGTGATGGAAACCCAATGATGATTCGTCTTGAATACTCGGGAGTTGAGAGCCAAGTCGGTATCAAGGGTGCTAGGATCTGAGTACTACGCTTGTGGGGGATGAAGAACCAAAGATTTACAGATGTATATACAAGTGGCTGCCCTCGTCAAAGAGGCGGTATTTTTGAGAAAATTCTAGCCCTTTCACCTTAATTACATGGTATTTTTTACCGATTCATATTTCTTAGGTTCTGTGAACCTTGTTGTGCAGCTTCTCAAGCAGCCGTATTCATACATCAACTTACACAAACTGAAAGACAATGTCTTCAACAAGTAACCCTTTTCCTCTGGCATCGGAGAGCTATGATGACAGCGCTCCAAGTGCCGACTCTGGTACTGAAGCTGGTGCTGCTGGCGACAGTTCAGGCAACTCCGTTTCTATCTCTCAAGGCGGCATGATTGCTATCATCGTTGTCGTTGTTGTCGTCAGCTTAATCGGTAGTATGTATCTCCCTACTACTAATCGTTTACATGCACTGACATTGTTATAGTATCCACAGCCGCTCTCTTCTTCACGGCAAAGAGGCGTGAATGGACAATGAGAGAGACAATCAGGAAGTCTGCCCGCAAGGTTGTTACAGCTCTCACACCGCGGAGAACAGAGTTCCCGTCATCAGTCAAAGACGGGCCTGTTCCATCTCATCGTAATCGTACACGGATTGTTGATGATGATGTCCCTCCGACACCGAGAATTCGACCTGAAGATCTTGAAAAGGGTCTAGCTCAAGCTAAGGCAAAGCGTAAGGAGAAGAAGTGGTCAAGGAAGTGAAGAGCAGCAGCAGAAGGAGGTTCTCACTATGGTGTACAACTGGCGGTCACGGTGGCAGGAGTGGTCATGGAAGTTGTCAGCCACGTATCTGATGGTTGTGGTCTCAAATTGGTGTTTCCAACGGACAGGATCCGGGTATCATCCATGTATAAATAGTAACCATCCACGCATGGGCTGTCTCATCTTTACTCCACGAACTGAGCATTAACGCCTTTGCTATTTTGATAATAAAACCCAAGCGCCTGTTTTATCCTTCTTAGATCCGTCTAAACGTGTTGCCACTGGCGCTACGTCGAGCAGCTCCAGTTCGCTTATCCCGGGGTTCGGCGGGCAGCTCCTCCTCTCTCTTCTTTTGCTTTCTCCTTGACTCTGGAATGAATGACACTTGGCGCTCACCAACAACCTCGCCCCGGGCCTGGTGAGTGCGCCCCGACTTCTGCTGTCTCGAGCCAAGCGCCGTGTCCTTGACAGCTCGTCCCTGGTTGCTGGTTGACGACACACGCATGACAACCTCTTCGTCCTTGGACTTTTGCCTTGGTGCTGTGACCACTGTCTTGTCCATATCCTCATCGCTGGACGCATCATCGTCAGAATCCTTGCCCTGATAACGGGCCGGTGCCTTCGGATCGGCCTGCTGTCCCACCACAGTGCTTGGGTTGAGAGCACGGAACTCTCCAGTGGTCTCATCCACCTGGAAGGCTTCATCCTCGAACATCTTGCTGAAACGAGAATCGCCAAGAACACCAACATTGGTGTCAACCTCGTCTCTGTTCTCCTGCTTCTTAAGAATCTTGTCCACCATCTTCTGGTTGACCTTGACCTTCTTAGTACCTCTGATTCTGCTTGCGCGTTCCTTCTCGACCTTATCCTTGATACGCTTCGTCCTCTCCTCTTCCCAGACATATGGGTTGGCAATCAACCTAGCCTGCTCGTACAGCTTGGAGGCCACAAAGTATCCGTGCATGTAAGGTCGGAGCAGGTTGGTCTTTCCAACCAGGTGGGACAAGCTCAGCTGTTTCAATTCGGGTAGTGTCAAGAACTTGTAGTTGTCGTATGTTTCGGTGTGCACCTCTTCCGCCATTTCTTCGACCATGTTGTCCAAGAATGAGCACCATTTAGGAGCAGGACCAAGTTGGGGAACAAAGAATGCGTGTTGTTGCTTGCCTTCGTTGGCTGTCATGATCATACCAGTATTCTTGCACCATGCGACGTCGTTGATATCCACGATAGGTTCCACAGACGTCCAAGGGTCTCCCGTCTCTTCATCCCACAGCTTGATGATGCGCTTATCTGCTGACAGAATCTTCTTTTCTTGTGATGCCGTTGTCATATGCATGAGCTTGTGCACAGGGAAACCATATCCTTGATCCTTCTTCATGAGGGGCACGGGTCGTCGTAGATCAAAAATTTGCATCATGCCACTCGAAGCGCCCGTAACAATAGAAAGGCCTGAAGGGCTGAAGTCCAATGCGGTAACTTCACCTTCGTGGCCTCCTAGTAAGGCGACCCTGGACTTGGATCGGGGGTCCCAAAACTCAACTGTCCCTATTGAAGTTCCGAAAGCGAGCAAGTTGTGAGTATTCTCTGCGATGGCAGCCGTGTTGACGCTACCAACCCCAATACCTCCTTGTAAACCGCCCCCAGTAAGTTCATCATCGCCACCAACATCAACCTGATATGACTTCATGAAGCGTCCCAGCTCAAGGTTCAGGCGGAACACCTCGCCCTTGCCATCGCTATCCAAGCCGACCGCTGGTACAAGAGCCTCGGTAGATTGCCGGTCGTAGACAAGAGCTCGGCCATATCTGGGAAGACGGACTTCGTAATGGCAGCCCATGGGAGTGTGGAATTCGAGGCGGCGATCGGTTTGAAGGTGAAGAGATTTAGAGTAATCGGATGACAGGAGCTCGAATGAGTGGTTGAGGGAGTTGGTATGACGAGCGAAAGACAGCGACAGCTGGGGCAAGTTATGAACATGAATCTGCGGCTTGTATGTGCCTGTGCTCATGATCCAGTCACCATCCTCACTGACCCGGATACAATTACTTGCCTCCTCGAATTCGAAATCTTGCAGAAGCTCGACACGATTCTGGTATTCGGCATCGTCCTTCAAACTTCGCTTTCTGCGTCGCGCAAGCCAGTCGGGCAGAGGTCGGGCAGAAGATGCTCCCGAAATTGTGTATACGGGAACGGTTCCCGGATTTGAAAGCTTCATGGTGGCGGCGTTCCAGTAAAACCGCACGAATGAAACTTGGTTGTCGTATTGAGAGGAACAATGCAAGTTTTGCGATTCACCAGCTGATGCGACTTCGACTTGGAAAAAAATCAAGGTGAAGAAAAACAATGCCCCACTATCCTCGGTGAGCTCGGTGACTCGCGGTAAGGACCCATAATCCAAGGTAAGTACCTCATGGAGAAGGAAAAAGGCATATAATCTAACTGTTTCTTTATAAGTGTTATTACAAAACACTCTGGCTATCAAAAGCTGCACAATAAGATAGACCATATACTATAATGATTTATGGTACTGTTTGCATCAAGTTATAGACTTCATAAACGTCAAGATTCCAAGGACCAACTCTACTATTGCTGATCTTTTCTTCCGCTAGCCTAATACGTTCCTATTCAGTCCCTTGAAATTGGTCTCTAGTTAGGCCCCTGTTAAACCCGGCCAACAAACCGCTTGATTGTCCCCAATTAAGTACTCCCCATCCCAGCTGAGGCCCTTGCTCTTCCGCCTCCACTGAATTTCCACCTCCGTCAACGCCTAGTTTGTCGCGACAGACATCATCAAATGTCGAACTGACCCAGATCATCGTCATATCGTTCCTTTTTGTCCAGATAATACAACATAAAGTTAATGATTTAGCTGTTACTTCGTTTACCACTATTTCGAAAGATTCACCTTACCGACCGAGCCATTTTAGCTCTCCGTGGCGCCATCCCCGAGCTGCGACTTGGCATAAGTGTCTGGCTGGTTGAGATGGAGTCAGGGGAGTCAACTGTCCCTACCAGTACCATCCAGACAACCATATCTCGACAATATCTGTGTTAACCCAAGGCACGACTACCAAGAAGAAGCAACGCGAAGTTTCGGGCCCTTTAGGCTTGTGCCTCGCCGTCGTTCCTTAGGCCGCACTTACGGTTGCGACTTCGGGACGGCGAGGAAGTTGTCGCAATGGAGACCAGTGAATATGAGACGAATACCTTGTCGATAGTATGTTTAAGTTACCGTTATAGTTCTAACTTTCCTCTAAAGCTTTTCTTTATCTAACTTTGAACTCTTCAGAACAACATCGCGTCGATAGCTTTTCGCATCTACGAGCCTCCTCCCGACCAATCGCATGGCTTCCAATCATCCGCTCTCGAGATTCAAAGTTCTCTTCGCGACCAAGGAAAGCTTGTTTCGTATGACGCCGACCGAGTAGGAATATGGATCTTCCAAATCGTCAGCAAAGATGGGACGAGCAAGGTCGTCAGTTCTGCCCCAGGATCTAGCCTGGAAGCTTCCGGCTATACATTAGGGATGGTCGAGGAGGGTACCCTTGAGCCTGTAGCTTTGCAAAAGAGCCGCATTCCGGGCAACACAACTCAAAATGCCCCAAATAACACAGCGTCGACCGCATCTCCCGCTGAGGCAAATAATCGCAACCCTTTGATCTCACCGACTCAGGTCGCTGGGGGGGGTTTGCCAGAAGGAGGGTCTCAATCTTCAGCTCAGGCTACCGACATGAGGCCGACGCAGCCAGTGCCAAAGATTATCTACGAACAGTTCATAGTCGCAGTCCTTTCCTCGATAGCATTTGCTTTCTGTAGTCGGTCTATGGCTATTCCTCTGAACTACAGGACAATGTTGATTCCACCTCTGCAAGCCGATACGAATGAACACGAAAGGGGCCCATTGCAAGCCGATCCTGTCGTTGGCACACTCAAGACATATCTCACTACTACAGGCTCTCTCGTTGTCAGTTTTAGTTTCTCTCACTGCAAGAACCTGGCGACAGTTGAAGATGTTCTCGCAGGTGATTCGTCTTCGCCAAGTAGCTCCGTGCTGGCTGCACCTTATGGAGTTTTTGCAACAAAACAGAATTTTGCCAACGGGGATGGCTCGGATCGAAGTCTAGCACAGACACCAAATACGCAAGCTTTGAGTGTGAGAAGTGTTCCCGATACAAACGATTCGCAATGGAAGCATTCATGTCTCAAAGCACTCGAGTATTGTGGGCTTAACCCATCTCACTTCAAGGCGAGCCCCTGGGTTAACCTTCTCATTTCTAAGCCAACTTCGCAGGATGCAGACGGAGAATCTAGGCCATCACGGGCGAGAGTTCCCTGGCCAGGATCGCTCTGCTTTCGAAAGAAGCCAATGGAGGTGTCAACGACTCACCGTGTTGGCGACACTATGCTCAGTGGCCACGAGGAATGCCATGATCCTTTGGGGGATGCTCGTGGATGGTTCGTCGGTGCGACTGAAAGGGAAGAGAGAATCTCTAAACGCAGAGCTGAGCGAGTGTATGCTGTCCCTAGAGAAGTTAATGGTGCGAACCCCCTAGCTCAAAATCTCAATGGGCAGTCTCCTTTGACCATGAGGCGACCTAGCACCGCTGCCGCTGGTGTCATGTATCCAACACCCCCCGACGCAATCCAACAGCACATCGGCGTTACCCCTTCCTTAGATGGAGCGATCTCAAGTCCTAATAACCCGCCCCCAACCCTTGCAGTTGTTGATGCTGATATCACGATGCCGACAGCGACACCGATGGCTGATGCTGAGAATGACGCCTGGGGAGGCCATCACGAACAAAAGAGAGAACGAAGCGACAGCAACATTATAGGTGATTCTGACGATGTAATGAACGACTTGGGTGAGGATGTGTTCGGGGATCACGATGTGACAGAGGATGACTTTAATTTCTTTGATGGACCTGACGCCAACGATCTGGACATCGATATGCCTGATTTGCAACCAGTTCCTACTGCACCTGCGCCGCAGATAATGCCTCCGCCGGTGGTATCGCATCCGGAGCCTCACAAAGCCATAGAGCCGCAACCTGAGGTCAAACCAAAACCAAAGCCAAAGCCAAAGACTAATGATTCTGTCTTTGCTAAGCCAGAACTGAAGCATGCCAGGAGCTCACTCAATGATGGGCTTAATCACAGGATCAAAGCTGAGCGATCAGATACTGCCAAGCGAGGGTCCAGTCCATTTGACCCTGCTACTGTATTCAAGCGAGTACGGGCCTCGTTGTCCAGCCCTACCAAGGATGATTTTGCTGTTCAGCCACCTCGGAGAAAAAGTAGTGTTTTTGAGAAGGTCGAGTTTGACCCTAAGATTCCCCTGATTAACAAAAAGTATGAACATGGTGGTGCCTTCGACTTTCCAAAGGACCAGAGGAATGGAGAATCGAGGCCGAGTGCCCATAATCTTTCTAGAGACGAGTATCTCGAAGGGCAAGGAAAGTTAAAGCAGACATCCAAATCACTTCTTGGAAACTCCCTCATCAGAAGTTTGACTGGCATTGACGCATCTACCACTCATGCAAGCCCCCAGAGACTGAACGGGCATGATTGGATCTCTGAAGAAAGTGATATCGAGTCAGATGGAGATGATATAAGTTCGGTTTCTGGTGGTCCAGTTTCTCCCGTTAAGTCCAGTGTCAAACGAGCCGTCGTGGATGATGATGCTCTTTCACAAGCTACGACTTCTAGAGAGACAGAGCTGTTAGATGACGCCACTGATGAGCAACTTGCGATCGAGCTCCCAAAACTATCCAAAACAGAATCGCCAGAAATGCTGCTACACCGTTTCTTTCTGGACCCAGAGCCACTTAACGTGGACGTAGGCCTTTCCAACCATGATTTTGTTGAGATTGCGCAGATCATCACCGAACAGGCTGCTACCGGTCGACTTGAAATTGGCAACGAGCATAGGGCTGAGTCATCTGTCTCCCTTGTGACTATGAGGAGTCATGAGCTCAGTATCGCCCGGAATTCCCTACAACTTCTTCACGATGTCATTCCCTCGAATTTGGGTAGCGCCACAACTGTGCGGCTGAAGGGACTGCTGGAAATCCAAGACCTCCCGCTTGTGGGACAACCGAGTCGTCTCCAGCCCAGACCGATTCCAGGCAGAGATCCCAACGCTGAGCAACTGCGCGCAAACAATCTATACCAGATTCCTGTACCTCATCTGGAATTGCGCAGATCAGAAACGAAACTCTCAGTACTTCCATCATCAATGTCTTTCTGGGAAGGTCTCGGGCTCTCGCCTTCGTGGGGGACAAAGGATATCTCCGCTCTTTGTATCTTTCCAGGCTGGAAGGGGATGGCAGACCATGTTGAAAGTTTTCTGGGCCGCTTGAAGAGTGTATACGAATCCTTGAAACTTGGTACTCTCAACAACCTGCCATTATCTGGAGACTGGGACGATGGCGTCTTGCCTTATGAGGTTGATAGGATCTCGACTTCACCTGACGCAACTGTGACTGGTCATGGCTCCGCTTTTGTGGAAAGCATGGAAGTGCTCCGAAGCTCTCTATCAGAGCTGAAGTCCAAAGATAAGAATCTGGTTATTTATTTTGTTTACTCGCCAGATAACCCGGCTTCCATTATCGAGGCCTGTACGGCTTTCTACCGCTGCTTCGATGAGTACAGCGACCTCCTGGCAGCTCGTCGAGAGTCTCCACAGAACGAGCTGGTGCTGCAGCTTGTTTCATCAGACATGATCTCTTCAACAACATCGCTAGTCGTCCCGACTCCCGCGGAAATGATCAAGCTCTGTATAGAGACGTATGACAGGTGCACCTTGTTTTTGGACGCCGAATTTGGTGGTCCTACACCTGCACCAGCAGTCATGCTCGAACAGCCTCCACCTCGGATGATTGACTTCAAGCTTACGACGTCACCTTCTCAGTCCCTAATGCATGAGAATTCCTGTCTACATGTTGGATATGCTGAAAGTCTTGATGGCCGATGGATTACAGCTGCATGGACCGACAACCGCGGACAACGACAAGCGACCACGTCCTATTCAATCACTCGGAGCAGAACACCGGATCGTTCCGTCTCCCACCATAAGGCCGCCATCATCGCCGAGATTTGGGCGACGACATTGACCATGATATCAATCTGGAAAGTTCATTGGCGAGTGATCATCACCAAGTCTGGGCCAATGGACCAGAAAGAGGTGGAGTGGTGGCAAGCAGCCTCAACGCTAGACGACAAATATTCATTCACCATGATTCTCATGTCCGTCGATACCAACCCATCTCTGCAGCTGGTCCCGCCGCTCGTGAAGATTCCCCATGCGGCAACCTCGGCGTTCTACTCGACACCAGTATCCACGCCCCAGGCTAATATTGTTTCGCCGGAGCAAACGACGACGCCAGCAACGCCTATGCGTGATGCCAACACATTAGCTGCTACACCGACTGCTGAGGGTGCCGCAGAAGCAGACGCCGATTCCTTCCTGATTGATGCCACTGACCAGACATGGGGTGCCATCGTCGGACATCGACTCTGCAACTCTACTACGTTACTGGAAGTGAGGCCGGCACTTGCCAGTGGGTATTTGATTAAAAGAACAGGAATCAAGCTTGAAGACCCCCCAGTCGTGATGGAGGTCAATCTTGTTCACACAGAGGCTACGCCTAGGGCGTACGAGCCTCTTCTAAGAGAGATGTTGTGCTATTTCAGGGGTCTTGGAACCCTAGCCAGAGCACGAGGTGTTGTAGATCGCGAAATGGATGTTCGACCTTGGCATATTGCAGCGGCAGAGAAGGGCGTGCGGGCGCTGCATCTACTATTATGATGATACTGGCATTGGGTGGCGTCGTTGTTGGTAGTTGGCGTGTAGATTGTTGGTGTATGGCGTTTTTACTTTGTGGTGCATATTTACGATTTGATCAGGTAGTCATGATTCGAATACAGATTGGCCTTCTGTTGCCACCTTAGAAGCTCACTTCTCTGTTCATTGGGATGATCATTTAGCAGGCTGTCATACTAACGACAATTGAGCAGCCAAGTGGACACAAGTAAATTAAGAATAGAACACTATATGTTCGACTGTCTATCAATAACCTCGGATGTAAAACACATATCAGGAAGACAAACGAAACGCCAGCATATCATCGAAGCTATGCATTTTCAGCTTTTAATGCTCAAGGGATTCCTTGGACTGGGTATCTTACGAGCAAGCAATTGTTATTGAAGGATATCAAACCAATCCCTCTCGTCCGATCCGTTTTGACCCTTTCGACGCCAAAGCTGTCTCTCGACGTCCCATTCCCAGAAACGATGACCTGGGTGCGTGGCAAAATCATTGTTCTGGGGCTCATGGGCAATGTTTTGGTCTTCCACTAATTCAGGGGTACTTGGATGGGTGTCCGCTGAGGCTGTGTCCACAAGAGACCAACCATGGAATTGGAATCTGTGAGAGGGAGCTTGAGATGCTCCGGTTGATAACTCCCAGGCAATGTTTTCACTGGAGTCGGCCAGACTATCAGTGTCAGAAGGCTGCAACGAGGAAGTCTTCTCTCTGTGCAATTTGTCGTTGGACGGCATGATACAATTCTCATCTAAATCAGAATTTTTTGAGATACCATAAGATCCACGCAGGGAGTCAGTGTTGATCTTTGATGGTGTTCCGGCTTCTTTTGGCTCTGAAGCTATTGTTTTGTGATGGGGGAGAGGGCTTTGGGCTCTTGTGCGGCAGCGAGCCAATAGCCGCTTTAGAGTGTCTTGAGATTGTTGATTCTTAGGGATGATGCCTTGACTCTTAAAGTCTTCCCAGGTGTTGAATTGGAAAGCCAGAGCTTCCCCTGGACAGGAAGGACTTGTCCCTTGCTCTTCTGGTCTAGATCCCTGGGAATGTGCTGGGGGAGTGAGGTGGACACTCTGATACAGTTCCTCGGTGTTATCCCCAAGGACTAGGTCCTGTTCTAGCCCAGGAACGACGTGAACCTGGGTCGTCTCCAAGCCCTGCTCAGAGCCAGATAGAGTCCAGGAGATTTCTACCACGGAGGGAAACTCGGAAGTATGCTTTTCGCTTGTACCCAAAAGCTTCTCTGCTATCTTATTGGAGATGAGGCCGTAGTCTCTGCCATAGAGTATGGCACTGATATGCAGAGGGCTCTGGGACTTGTTCCTTCGCTTAGAGAGGTTTGGATCGTTGGCAGAAACTGGCCAGCAGTTAATGATAACTAGTTGAGTGAAAACATCCGGCATGTCTTCGATTGAGCGTGTAGTATAGTAGATTCAAGGTCTTGTTCTGAAACGAGTGAGTAGCCCCAGAGGGGATATGTGGATGGAAGGGGTCCAAGACTTGTAGACAAATATCGAGTGAGGCTCCAGTGTCAGACACATCACGGCAGTCAGCGGGGACCGAGGTTAGCAAAGGGAATTGAATTGACCTTTTAATATTGTAAAAAGTAGGTTGAATAGTTGTAGAAGAGTGACTGATACTAGCCAAGTCCAGTATACCAACGCCCGGTATCATAAGTAAAGGATGCATAACGTGAAGCGTTTTGATCAGCATCACTGTCTTGGGTAAAATCAGGCTGAGAGGGAATGTGGAATGGGGGAATTCCGATTGAGAAAGCCAGGTAGTCACCCACCTGTGAGTTGTCACATTCACCGATATCACATTGCATAAATCACACCAGACTGCGGAGCTAATGCAGAAGGCAAAGTGTGAAATACATACCGAAGGGCTCGAGTCCTCGAGTCCGGGCTTTTCTATGGGCAACGAGACGTCACTGGTGATAAACCCGAGTCAGGCCTCAGCTTCGAAAGTCACAATTCCCTAAATAGGGGCCTCCCTTACGGTTGTCTGACCTATAGAACCCTTGTGTATCATCTTGAATGTCCTGCTGCTGCTGTCTTCACTGAGTCATTGTTTAAGTAATGCTTTACTTGGCCAACTCGGCCAACCACGGCTCGATATCGCTCACTGAACAAGATGACTGCATAGATAGCATAATTCCTTGATTCTACAGCCAGGGTAGGATAAAAAAGAATGTCGCCTTCTTATAGGTGTACATCGTCCTCCTAGCTACGAGATATCACAGGTGTGCAGTGGGCATACTGGCTGAGAGAGCGTTGTCTTTGTAGTTTTCTCTGCCACGTATCGGGCATGTAAATTCCCATCATGGTACTGCCATCCATGTTCTTGTCGGTACTTGATGAGGCTCAACTGATCTAGTGCATGATAAGATCAAGGATTGAGGCCCTAATGTGAAGTTTGATATCCTGTTCCGCTGATTCTTCTTTCATTTTGTCTAACAGCGATTGCTTGGAGCCCTCACGTTGACTCGAATCTTCTCCCGTCTCTACTGGCTTAAGCTTCTCTCAGGTACCGTCGAAACTCCCACTAAGCTGGCCATACTTAAACCTCACCACGGTGAAGACAAGTATCAATGTGGAGATGCCGGCGCAAAGATCTCATAATCCTAACAAAATATCATTGAGAAAAAGCTGCAGAGGTCTCCTACTTGGACCACTGGCGAAACGCTTGAAGCCTTCACGCGCTGAGCTACAGAAGGTAGAGAAAGAGAAGAAGCGAAAGTCACGCCCCCAAGCACCAACATCATCGTCGTTATCGGCAGCAAAAGCTTCGACATCTTCCGGAGCAAAAAGATTCACAGCCGTCGCTACAAATACAGATTTATTACTAGAAGCACCAGGCCCTCCTTTAGGGATTAACGTCGAAAGCCCAAGAGCTCAAGATCAGACGCTCATTGCTACCACCCAAAGCAATATTGACAAGTCCAACAGCATTGCCGTCGACCCTGAGTGTCAAAATCAGGCACAAAATCTTTATACGTTTGACTACAATACTCTCGCTACCTCGTTCCCCTATTCTGCGCCGTCTTTATTACCAACATCGGAAGGGAACGACCAGTGCACTGCCCCGAGCTTTGCCTCCTCTATCATCCAAGCATCGGACTTGGAGCTTGATATCAATGCCAGCTTTCTCCCGCCAGAGCCAACCCAGACTTTCTCCTGGACTGAATTTTGGTTTGTGCTTTAATATCTTTTGCATCCTTCTGTTTTACTAACATACTTCCCAGTGCTCCCTCTATTCAGAGCCCTCTAGTACCAGAGTACACCCAAAACTTTGGTAACCCCTACGGCTTTACTTGGGCTTCGAACATGGGAACATCTCAGCCTGCCCAACATAATATCACACAAGACGTGCAGCAAGGACCACCACCATCTGCTCCCAATATCTCCTCTTCCTCTTCTGCTGGACAGGAGTTGAATCTAGTCAAAGCAACATATGATGGCGGCTATTCAACCCGCCAAGTGGTCGAATTCGATGGCAGGTCGGATCTCAACTTCATAGCCCAAAGTTCTGTTGACATACTCCAACGTTCATCTTCTATACAAGTTATTAGTGTCCCACCAGGCATCGGCAGAAAGACACAATGTCCCAACGGGGCATTAGTCAACATCGAACGCATCTTGTACGCCTGGATAGAGTTCGAATCTCCTCACCTTCCCTTCCCCCCTACTCGAGTATACTTTGTTGTGTACGATGACTTCGGGGGTGAGGCTGGGATTCATATGACCCTAGGCCATGATTGGACTACCAGAATCAAGTAGGCCTATCCATAAGTTGGCTGCCATGGCCAACTATAGACTCTCATACGTTATAAGCTCCGCGTTGCTGCTACTGAGATAGGCGCAGCTTCTATGCGGTAGTATTCCCATGGTTGATTTGCAGGATTTCAACCCATGAACGCTCATACTTTCCCAGCGGAGCCCTCAGTGATAAGAAGGCGTCCGCAATATTGTCCAAGTTGTTGGGTGTTGAGCTGGCTCGGTGCCATCATGGCTCCGAGAGTACCCTGGTCTCTCTCTGATTGTCGTTCTTTACATGGTATCTGGTTTCATTATTTATGTTCACTCCTTTATCATGGCGCTCGAGATGCTGCAGTTTTTGGCTTCGCCATATCCAGCTCAAAGCTTATGCCTTACAGAACTTCGTGTCGAAGGATCACGACAGGATTGTTTGGGGTGTTTTCTCTTGTACATGACATGTTCGTACGGTCTTTGTCTCTGTGGCTTGCAGCTTCTATTGTTTGTCGACAAGAACGAATATTTGGCGTTTTGTGATTTTGGCTGTTCATCAGTTAATTGTATGGTTTGAGACACAGAATGAAATATCACCATACACACAAATTCGATTTCGATGCCTGTAATACGAGTAGAGTAGTTCAGTAGCAGGAGATTGTTTGAAGGAAATGGAAACTGATATGTTTATGTGCGTACCTGCCTAGACCCAGGCGGAAGTAGGACCCGCTATGACGCTCGAAACCACTAGCATTACCTAGGCAGGCACCACCAGTAAGCACTGGCTGACTCACTGTTAGAGACGTATAAGTTTTTTCCTCTTCCTCATTCAAAATCTTTCATGGTATAAAACCGAATAAGAACAGAATCAAGGTCATTCAATCTGTTCATATCAGTTGAAGCCAAACTTCAAAACTCGGTTGACCCGAAAATCCTGCTACAAGCTGAATCAGGGAAAAACTGCATCGCATCATAACCACATAAAAAGTCTCCGGCGAAATGAAACTATGATGGATAGAACATCTCTGGCAAGTCTACCAGATGATATTGTTCTCGATATTGTCGAGCATCTCGACACAGCTCGTGACGTAGCTCACGTCTCAGCCTTGACAAAGCATCTCCAAAGTCTCATACGCCAAGATGGCTGGCGTACTTTCGTCAAGACCCGATTTCCCTCCCTGCAAATAGATACAAATTCAGAGACTCGCTGGAGTTCTATTGCAAATCGCGCAGCCTACCTGGATCGCTGTTGGGAGAAGCGCGGTTTCTGGGTCAATGTGTTGTATGAAAAGAAGAATCAGCCAGAGAGGTTCCAGCGTCGAGTTGCTGGAAGCCAGTCAGTGCTGTTCCATTCTGTTCTCGATGCGCGACTTATGTCGTCGCTGAAGAATGAGGTTATTGCTGCGGGCGTGGGCGAGAATCTCATGGTTCGCATAAAACCTGTTGATGGACAGCAGGATACCTGGCATCAGGTCGGTGGCCATGATTATGGATATCGGGCTGGTACTGGAGATGTAACAGCAGTGTCGGTCATAGAGAATTACGGGATACCCAATATTGTTGTCGGGAGGGCCAATGGGGATATCAGCATACACTCTGGCGAGGACGAGTTTGCAACAGTCGCAAGACACTTGAACCCAGCAGACGAGGCACTTCTGAACCATGCTTCCGATCCCATGAGGAAATCCCCAGGCCAAGTGGCAGTCTCATCATTGCAGTGGCATCCCGAGACGAATCTCCTGGCAAGCGGGAAAGGCTCGGTGCTGACTCTCTACAATCTCAGTATGTCAGATGACCGAGTACTGAGCCCTATGGATTACCATGAATTCTCCAGCAGCAGTCCCGCAGATGAGGCGTCACTCCTGCGCAGTACCAAGTTCATAAGCAAAGATATCATGGCTTGCGCTCTAGGCGGAACTCGAAATCCTCTGCGTTGGGGACAGCTCACACCGACGGGCTTACAATTCTTCAACTCTCCTAGTAACTCCAGGCACGTAGACGATGCTTCAAGGTTGATAAGTGCAGGGGGAACCAGTGAGAAGACCACAGTTCGAGCAATCGAGCCTGTTAGAGGGGGAAGTGAAAATCTTCTTTTGAGTGCATGGGACGATGGCACATATAGGCAAGTTTATCTCATAAAACGTATGGTCAGCTGTTAACCCTTTATTCAGACTCCTAGATATCCGAACACCTTCATCACAAGACGCAGTATACCGTGATCGCTTTCAACCCTACCAAGCAGGTAGTTCTCTCCTCGTGTATGGTACAGAGCGCTTCGTATCCGGCAGTAACACAGCACCGGATATTCGTCTCTTTGACTTCAGATACCCAAAGCCATATCATCACACAACTGCTCTTCCATGCTCGCCACAATGGCCCTTTCCCAGCCAGAAGGATGATCACATTATGAAGCAAGGATGGGCGCCAGAGCATCAACCGCAGAAATGCGATTCTCAAAACGGGGTGTTGTGTTACTGGCATGGAGCTTCAAGACGAAACTACTGGCGTCCTGACGCTACCATTCATATTGGTAGTCCCACATACGACAGGATCTATTGTCTGACCAAAGCGTCCGATCTTTCAGACACCATATACTGTGGCGTTCGCGGTGCGATTCTCGAGATGAATCTCCATCTCACGGAGGACACGGTGAATAACCATAACCAACGAACTACTCCAACGGATTGGAGCATGGGAAGACCCGGAGGCAAAATCTCACTGATCGAGACAGGCGTGAGCCTCACCCAGACGAAAGAATGGTCTCTCGATAACCGCGGTGTTCCTGACCTCGTCGTTCAGCAGCCTCGCCCCCGAAGACGAATAGAATTATCAGATGAGGAAAAGAGGCACCGTCTGGACTATGCGTTTCATAGACCGTAGGATTTCGAAGACGCAGAGGCATAAAATTAGAGAGAGCGTACTCATTCATAGACAGGTTGCAGTTTCTAAAATCGCTCGCAATTCTTTCTTCGATAAACATAAACAGCATGTCTTTATACAAGCTCTAAACCAAATCTCGCAAGTCTAGTATCCTCTAGCTCTATAACTTTGACTCAGGCACCAAAAGAGCTAGTCTCTCTTTCAACGCCGTCTCCGCCTCCTTCTCAATTCTGTGAACAAGCGCATCGCATGTAGGAATATCGTGAATCAGGCCGATAACCTGGCCAGTTGTCCAAACCTGCGAATTGTGTTAGTCATTGCATCCTCGACTCGGCTTAAGGTATAAACTTACGCCGTATTCAGTATCGCCGTTTACGAAAACCTCCTTTCCTCGCTTGCCGCTCACAAACGGCGCAATCTCGGCAAATTCGCCCTTCTCGCTCTTCTTCTCGACCTCGAGAGCCTCCAGGGCAACCTTGTTCTTGAAGAGTCGGGTAGTGTTTCTCCATCTTCGCATGAGAAGTGTCGTGTCGGTCTCGTCCGCGCGCACAATCTCCTCCTTGACCTTCTGATGCACTGGAGCCTCAACCGTGCACATGAATCGCGTTCCCATGTTTACTCCAGAAGCGCCGAGACATAGCGCGGCTGCGAGTCCATAACCATCTGCAAAGCCACCGCTGGCGATGAAGGGAACACCGAGGGTTTGACGGGCCTTGCTGAGCAGGATAAAGTTTGTAATGTCGCTCTCGCCAACGTGTCCGCCGCACTCGAAACCGTCGATACTGAGGAAATCGACGCCGAGCTTGACGGCGCTCTGTGCATGGCGAATCGTGGTGCACTTGTGAAGAACAATGATGCCAGCCTTCTTCAGCTGCGCAATAACAGGTCCGGGGGAGTTTCCCGCCGTCTCGACAACCTTGATACCCTCGTCGATGATAGCCTGGGCGTAGGCGGCGTAATTCGGGGGCACCATGGCGGGAAGAAGGGTGATGTTGACGCCGAAGGGGTTCTTGGTGAGGGTGCGGCAGCGCTGGATCTCCTTGCGCAGGTCTTCGGGCGTGGGGAAGATGAGGGCGGTGATGATGCCCAAGCCGCCGGCATTGGAGACAGCTGATGCGAGGTCGGCGGTGCCTACGTGCATCATACCGCCTTGGACGACGGGCACTGGAGATGGTCAGTACGAGAGTGAAGAGCGTGGAATTGGGTGTACAAACCTCTAATGCCGAGTCGCTTGGTGAGTTCTGTCGCAAAAGGCATGATGGCTGACTGCTGATGGTTGGTGGTGAAGAAATGACTGAAGATAAGGTGAAAGAAGAGAAGTGTAGTAGAAATTCTACGTCTATGGTATCTATATCTATGAAATATTATCAAGCTCACATAAGAAACAAGTCAAAGAAAATGGCCCGAGGCTGCTTGTCCAGAGACGTACGTACGTGACCATTCTCGCTCGGTATGTCCCTAAAAAGGTGCCGAGGTATGATGCAGGCTGGTCTCCACTAATTTCCCCACACTCTTAGCCTACAGGAGTCGGCTCGGCCCCTCCTTTCTTCACATGTGGATGTGGATCTTGCATTCAACTCAATCCAAGATGGATCTTGCATCTTTGAATTTTGCGGGGAATAACCAACCGTTGCAGACTAATCTTGGGGAAACACAAGACTTGAACAGAATCTTAAGATTGACTCTAGATCATCCTAGTCTCGTGACAAATAGCTAGCATGGCTCTTGTGGTCTTATCTTAGGCTTTACTTCACATCTCATGTTACATCAAAAGATTCATAATAAAAGACTCTCTCTTGTAATCACTAGTGTAGCTGGCATTGAAGCCACTAGAACCGCTTCGGCCCTTCATATCAAACGCCAACTTCATCAAAATATGCATGTCCCACCAATCAACACAATCAATCATCCATAAAACGCCGTATGTATACAATAAACCATATCGTGGACCATCATGATATCCCTCGTTTTCCCAGCCAGGACCAGCATCTTTCAGTAGATGGGGTGTTAAAATCTTGCCTATTGTCCATATTCCCTCAAGCCAGACGCCCAAAACCGCAATATTGTCGTTTCCTTCAGTACCATTGCTGGTAGTCATGTCATTCTGCTAGCCTGCCGTCTAGTCGATGCCCTTTTAGTTGATGTTTGGTTCCAGCAACCGAACCGGTGGACTTCTGTCTCTCGGCTTCTCGATCAGATCAGCGTATGCATCGAGACTCTGGCCCATAACTTTGACAATCTCAAAGATATGTGTTCCCTTAAAAGTCTCTGCCCAAAGTCGCACAACTGCAACAGCGAGTTGTCGCAATTTGGCACTGTCGCTTGATGGCACCTCATTCTGTCCCGAGAGTGATGGGTCGATTGGCGGAACCGCAAATTCAGTCTCATCAAGCATCCGTCCAACCATATCCAACAGGTTTTTCTCCTCGGGTGAAGCGGGAGCCTCGTGCGGCCCAATCGCCGCAATCGTGAGTAGCCACTTGGATACTAAAATGGCACATTCAAAGTTGCACACTATGAGATTAAAGTTTAGGAATCAAGTCAAGACATTTTCAAGGGGTCAAATCATGCAATGAATGACTTACATGAATGTTGAATGCTCCATTCGGCCGACTTGGTTCTGGCTACGTAGTTGACGCCAGCCTTAACCAGCATCGACAGGGCGTGGAATGCTTGGAACACTGCCCGGTGCAGTCTTAGACTCCGTACTAGCAAGGGGGTCCTGCTCAGCGCCGACGCCACCAAAAGCGGATCCCGGGTCTCGAGCGCGGTTGAGGGAGTGACATCGGTATAGAGTCGGATGTAGGCTTGTCGCAATAACGCTGTGGCCGTGTAGTCCAAGGTTCCTCCCACATTCGAGTCCGATACGTTGTAATGTCCCGATTCCGCTGCCCTGAGCTGATGCTGATCTTCAAAACTCGTCTGCCATACACGCAGTGCTTGCGTAACCTCCTCGACATCTTCGGGTTTCATAGTTCGGTGAATGTTATATGGTAGACCAGTTGCGAAAGAGGTCTGCTTCAACAAGTAGATATGCTGGATGAGGGCGTGGATGAGAACATAGCTTCCCAGTGATGACAAATGTTGGGGAAGTCCTTGATTTGTTCTGCCAAAAAGTCGTGAGAAGGCGTCATGGAGGGTGAGCTCGATCATCGGTGTCGACTGTCGCATTTCCTGCCATTGCCAAGCTGTCTCAGCCCTCCAAAGCTTACCTCTTTGGGGCAGCAAGAGGTTCAACTCGGATGTCAACAACAATGGCGGCATGTTGTAGGCAATGCTGCAAAGATTGAAAAAGCAATAAGCAACGAGCTTCGTCCTTGTGGCTGTCTCCAGTCGAATCCAGGTTTCCCAGTCATTAACAGCACTCTGGTTGACTTCCGCCACAAGACCTTCTTCTCGTATCAGAATTGCCAAATTACTTTGCAGTGATAGCGCTTCATGAAGGATGGTTGGCACACCCCAAAGACCGACAGCGAATAGAAGTAGAACTGCTTGGATAGTCTCAATCCGAGCCTGGGGAGTATTTGGAGAACTAAACACAGTTAAGATTGAACTTCAGACAGACCAAGATGAGACTTACTATGGCTCCCGATGAGTATCCTGTGTTGTAGGTCGCTCTGACTGTGCAGATGCAAACGAGTGGCGATATGTGGCACTTGGCGAGGGCCTCGTAGAATGAGGACTGTAAGCAGAAGCAGTCGGTAATAAAGCATGAACCTCCGAGATGCGCCTTCTTCGAATCTGCTCCATCGCGACGGCTTTGGCAGCATACCAAAGGGCATAGCCTCTATTCTTCTCAAAGCGATACTGGGCTCCCACGGCAAGAATAGCAAGCAACAACTCGGGAGCGGCCTCGGCAGGTGAAAAGGTTGGAAGATGAAGGAAGGGCAGATGCTCGTGAAGTCCGCTGATATATCCTTCCAAGAATCTGGTCAATGTATGCCTCGACGGGAACACAAAGTCATTGGGTAAAACAGCGGAGAACTCCTCCAATCTGTTCTTGATCACAGTGTGGTCGGATACTGAGATGCGAAGAGCTGACTGTCGTGCTGCTTCGTCAATACCTCGAGCGGCAGGGTCTGCAGGATCTCGGGCCTCGGTTTGCATCGGAGGGAAGCGACCTGGCAGAAAGGACGATTTTGATGATCTTCGCTGAGTAGGTCCTCCTTGACTCCGGGAATACATCATCTGCTGTTCGATTTCAAAATTTGGAGGTAAGAAATGTGAAGAAGAGGCAAACTCGTCAAGGAAAGGATTGTAATCATCATAAGAGCCAGTAGGGGGTTGTTGAGGCACATATCCGGATCCCAGAGGCTGATCTTCCCGGGGTCGCTCCGTTGTGTATGCGACGATAGACTCTCCATAGCTGCTCTTTCTTCGGGACTCTGGTGAATGTGGTGGAAGAGGCGCTGCATTGACATTTCTCTGGACAGGTGTCACTGAGCTCGCGAGGGCTGCATCAGATAGGAGATCAAGATTACAAGCTGCAGTTCGGGGCTGAGTCCGAGGATCCTGAGGGCCTTGTTGAGTATTTGGAGGAGGACCATGGTGAAATTGTTGTGGCTGCGGCAGTGGTTGCTGTGGTGGCGGAGGCCGCGATACGTTTAGATGTTGCTGTCCCAGAGCCTCATTGCTTATCTGGCCTTCTGAGATGGAACTCTTATGTGAAGCTGAGGATGTATTGGACGACAACTTCCTTGGTCGGTTGTTGTCCTTGCTACCTTCATTTAAATGCACGAGCTTCTCGTGTCTGACGAGGAGATCCCTGATATCCATGTAAGCATGTGTATTTGACAACAAAACTGCGGTGACAGGAGAGTCCCAGCTGGGATGGCGCATCAAAGGAAGGAACAAAAGAGGACGAGCGGAGATGACAAGATTTGAAAAAATGGGTGGATGAGTGAGTGGTGAGTACTGTTTATGAGTGCCAGGTGGGACGGCATGAGAGACGGGGTATATAGCGTAACTAGAGGAAACGTACCTTCGTCCGAATGTCTTCC